CACACACACACACACACACACACACACACACACACACACACACACACTGTTTCACGTTAAAACTTTCTATTCACGTGATTTTCTGCGCTTCAACTCTTCTCAGAACATTTTTGCAATTGGATTCTCAAGCACGAACTGACGGAATCCGAAAGAAAAATAACTCACACAAAAAATAAAATTATGTGTATCAAAGTCGACCGAATGCAACTTGAGTGGCTTGTTAAGAATAACGCGTTGAGAACGTGCTTTGAAGGTTGAACATTACGTGTGTTTGTTTCTCTTTTTTTTTGACAGAGAGAAAAATCGTTGCAAGTGAATTTGCAAACGGCTTTCTCGTGTTTTTTTTATTACAATTTGGCGCATTATCATGAGATTACATCAGCCTCTCTATCTCACAGAGAGAACACATGTGAATATAATCAACAAACACGCTTGTTAGAGTGAGTAAAATTTACGCGCAAAACTGACGCGCGAAACAGTTCTTTATTTTTTGTGCCAGCGTTTTGGTTGTGTATTACTGCACTTTCAATTGAGGGTAAGCAAAACACACTGTTTGCGCCTCTTGTCACAACATTGGCGGCATTCTTGCTACTTAATTTAACGCTTGTTCAATTTCAAAAGGATTTTCAAAACACACTCACACACTGAACACAAAGGGAAAAAATACCGATGCTTTCACTCAAACGACTCACTTCAGTAAATTCAGGCAAAAAAAAAACACGACAAAATAGAAAACCAAACAAATATTTTCGCTGTGGTGCACGGTGGTGGTGTGGCGTCAAGAGATGTGTCACTTCATTCAATGAAAACGATTTATATGAATTTTACTTGTTTGGCTGATTAATATATATGGGAGCAAAAATTGCTCGTACTTAATCGGTTTTAATTATAGTTGTCGAGTGAGAGGGTGAGAGAGTGTGTGTAAAATTGATAAAGTTTAGCGACTCACATTTGTTTTTGTGTACAAGCACCGCTGAAGTCAATCAAACAACTGAGAGAGAATAAGAATTGTGACACACAAACACATCATACACACGGCGGCGGCATATAGCAGGCAATATGCTCCGTGTTCTTTTTCTTCTTCTTCTTCTTCTTCATCGCTGTTGAGTTTTTCATCGTTATCCGTATACATACCTCGTTGCGCATACACACTCGCACACTGTGTATGTATGTTGTTGTTCAGCACGAGACACGCATACAATTCGACGTAGTGTATATATCTTTGCTTGTCTTCTATCCCCATCTTTGTCGATTGCGTTCTCATGCCAATGCCGCGGCAATGTTTTGCGTTTTGTTTTCATTGTTCTGGATGTGATTTGACATACGCACATACACATACTATAGCGTATATATATACTCATGCAGAATAAATTCGACAACGATGACGACGACGACGACGACTACGGCACGCCAGTCAGCCAGCCAGCCAGCCAAACGAATGAATGACTCAGACTCAGACTACATACAGGTACATAATAATAATAACCAAATACCGGATCGAAGCTAGAGTCACGGCATTCTCTCACTTCTTTACATCGCCAACATCCGTCGATGATCATCTGAATTAGTGCATAAGTAATTCAATTTGCCTGTTTTTTTTTTATTGAACCATATTTTCCAAGAATTAAGACTTGTGTTTCAGGCACTGTTTACACAATCCGAAATCATAACCAATCATAGATATGGATAGATGTGGCTGATGCTCGGCAAACCATAACGCAATTGTCATGGATGAAGTGACTTAGATGTTCATGAATTTTATGCGATGATGAATTTATGTGTGAAACGCATACCATTCCAACTTCGGTCGGACCTTTTTCTTCTCGCATCAATCTCTTTGCACTTTGCGTTATTTTGCTTCAGCTTGTGGTTTTCGGTGTTTCTTACCTTGTGTTGTTACATGGCTTGTGTTTTCTATTCTCAAAACCGTCAATACGAAAAAGAGAGAGAGAGAGGGAGAGAAACCGATATCATTCGATACTTCAACACCTTTTTCTTCACAACCAATCAACATTGTATCATACTAAATCAATTCGAACGATCGCGGATCACATCGACTCGCGTTTTTGTATATAATAAACGGATTTTATTTCATACATGTTAAAACTAATTTTGTAAATATTTACAGACATACGCTTAATTTAGATTCTGAATGCGGTATGATGTCATGATGGATGAACGCCATGACTTTTGGTTTACGTTTGGGATGCATTTCCTTTAGCATTTTCTTCTGCATCGTCAGTATCACTGCTACTTGATGATGTTGGGAAGAAATCGTCGCGTCGATTCGCCTTTTCGGCTTGAGCATTTCGCAAATATTCGTCTTGCGCTTCGAGAATCTCTTTGCTTGACGTACACGATGAATACTTTTCCAAGAGCTCATTATTCAATTCCAAAAATGAATGACCCCATGAAAATTTACTTAGATACCATTTGGCCTCGTCTTTTAATCCTGCAAGAAAGATGGTCAACAGTTTAAATTGATTCGAAATCACTAAATTGGTTAAAACTAATCTTAATCAATTCACCCATTAACCAATTCAACAATTTTAAATCCTTTACCGATAATATAAAGAGCGGCCGCAATGGCTTCAACGCAGCTCAATTGGCATGGTTTGCCGTAGTTGATTGGATTTGCGGCGACTAAAAATGGCAGTAAACGTGGATGTGGTGTTTTCATTCGATCGAATGGTGTTTCATCTAATTTAGCCCATGAACAATCGACCACCGCCAATCCGGATGCTTTGATAATTTCATTATCCGCTGGACTCACGCAATTCGTTCCGACGGGTGTTAAAACCAGACCGGGAAATCGTTGACCCAAACGTAAATTGCTAATCAATCCGTGTCGTGCCAATTTTCGGCCTGAGCATTTTTTCGGATCACAATGATTGAGATCCCACATTGCAACGTTAAAAGTTGGTGCTTTTCCATGATCATCATCATCCGAACTGGATTCCGACGAACCGGACGATGATCCATTGCTACTCGATGACGAGTCGGATTGTAATTTCAAATCAGCCGCTCGTTCGGCCAACTTTCGATCAGCATTTCGATGTGATTGCTTGGCATACTTTTTATTTCGTCGATTATTTGCACCAGAACCACTTGATCCACGACCCGATTTTGCACGATTCATCTTCGAAGAAAATAAAAAAAAAACAGTATAGATCTACTCGTATTCACCGTAATGTAAACTTTTGTTTTCTCAATCACACATGTTCATCGTGTGCACATGAACATTTGACAACAAACGTCAAAGTGATTGTATGACTGTCAAAGTGGCGCCACTGTGTGTTGCTTATTCAAAATGATGATTTGTTGAATTTTAAGCGATTTTCTGGGGGTTTTTTTCCCTGAATGAATGGGCATTTCATTTAAAATAATGAGGAATTAACGAGGGACTTTTCTTCAATTGAATCCAATTCGAATTTTCAGTGACACCACTTTTTCTGTGGACTAACATCGCTTCTGATAACATTTTAACCGTCGCATTACATACGCGTGAATATTTTATGCGTAAAATGATCAATGGGGATTTTTTAAATTGTTATCGATTTTTTGTTTCAATCTTCTCTTTCTCTTTCTTTTTCACTCTTTCTTTCTCTCGAAAAAAAAATGGGACTGAAAATCATTTATGAAAAATCATTCGCAACAACTGAATGGCTTCAAGTCAATTTCAGGAGATGACCGTGCATTCTTTTATTATGACATTTGGCATTTTCAACACATTGGTGTGTTTTGACACACACACACACACACACGCACACAACCGTGACGCGCATACACCGACGCAGCAAACACATATGCAACGCGCATTCAAATCTCTTTCTATTTCATGCCGTAGTAAATACACACAGACGATTTAATGAAACACAACAACACCACCATTGAACAAATGTCAATCTCGCGTAATTGCGACAAGAGGAGAGTGGACAGAGAATGAAAAACACAATAACTTATACGAGAAACAGTAGATTTGAAAGCAGTGTGCTGTACACAAAAGGCGCAAGCAGACTCAGCACCAAGTAACACAATATACACAACTGGGGGAGACTGACTGGGAGAGTGAGAGAGTGATAGAGTTGGTGTGTGAGATATATACACAAAATTCACAAAAACAGCAGCAAGCGAAAAGAAGAAAAAAAAAATAATTCTGATTGGCCTGTTGTGTGTTGCAACAAGAAAAAAAAAAGAAATTAAATTTTTCCATTTTGCCTGCTTTATCGAATTAGACAATGTGCGATTCGATTAAAAATTCAAATTAGTGACATGAATACACGTTTTAAGTGAGTTTTAATTTCAATCTTAAGCCAAACATAAATAAATAAATCGAAAATATTGTGTTCAATTGAAAGTGGAACGATTTCATATCGTTGGCGAAAATTATACACAGCCGAAACACACATTATGGGCTCCTTTTTTTCGTGTGTGAACTGATTTATTTATGTTGTTCGTATATCTCGCCAAATTGGAACTAAAGTGGATTATCTGTCTGTGACGATTGCGAATTTTATCGATTGTGAACTTTTGGATTTTCGTGCATTTTATCTGTTTTTTTCTTCTTCTTCTTCTTCTTCTTCTTCAATTCCAAGTACTTTTCTGTTTGTGTTGTTTATTCGTCACCCGTATATTTGCCTTCCTCATTCCATTACGTTGCCTTATTCGGGGTGTTTGCAATCGCATCGATTGTTGCACAACAAAAGCATTGGACAAAAACACACAACCGTTTCTTTTTTCTTTCTCTTTCATTCATACGGCAATTTTCTAGTTTGATTTCGTGATTTCGAAATTCCGTGTTTTGCGATTATTAGTGGATAGAGCAAAGAAAAAAAAGAGGAAGAAAACCAACCAATTTTCGGGCTTTAAATTAAAAAAATTCTTTGAATATTATTTCATTTTGCAGAGAAAATGTACAGAAGCTGTTCGAGTATTGGTGTGAGATATCACCCACAGCGATTGGTGAAAAAGTGTCGGGTGTCATTGTTGAAAGTTTCCCAGAGAGATTCAAAGATACCGAAATCATAACAAAAATCCCAGAGTTTGCCTATCCGTGTCAGTTTTTAAAGTAAGTGAAACCAAAAATCAAACCATTTCCTTTTCATTTTATGGCTTAAGTTCTTCATCATCATCATCATCATTTCGTGTGCTCTCATTGAAATCTCGTTTAGTCATAAATATAATTGTGTTTTTTTTTCGCTGTTGTTTTGCGCAAAAAAAAACACTCTGCTCGTGTGTATGTGTGTGGTATTATCGTACATGCAACGTAGTAAATATACTAAATATGTACATATTTCAAGTAAGACGAAAAAAATATATCATATATATGCGGTAAATATACGCAAATTAAGTACAACTGTTTGTAGGTTTTTTTTTCTTTTCGTGTGTTCGATTAATGATGGATATGTTCGTTTCGGTGTTTGCATTTTTTTTTCCATTTTGTGATACAGTCTCGTTTGCTCTCGTTTCTGCTGCCGCAGTATCTATTGCGGCCGTTTGATGTGCGGATAGTTTGGTTGTCGGATTGGCCCAAGAGAGTCGAGTCATACAAAGAGATTGATTGTTGCATGAATTCGTCATTTGCTGAATTGGTTATAATAATGTAACTGTATGTCTTCACACTTCACATGTATTAGTCATCGCGAATCGTGGAAATGATAAGTTGCGACAATGAATACAGCAACAATAACCAAGAATGCGAGAGAAAGAATGAAACAAAAAATGAGCAACAAAACAAACAAATAATCCAACCGAAAACGTTGCAAAACCCAAGTGATTATTATTGGATTTGCGACTCTGTTTTTTTTCTTTCTTCTTCGCATTGAGCAATCGAATCGCAAAAGCATAGATTGCACGAATCGCATATATGAAATACATCAATTTATTACGAACAAAATCCCTTGTCACCATCATTTAATGTCACAATTCGCTTTGAATTATTCATTGCGCGCGCGATTTCGCATATATACGTATGCATTTACACTCAATTGAAAGCCAGCACACACACAATATGAAGCGCACATCGACCGATTCATCAATTCCATTTGAATCACACACGTTGTCGTTGCCTCATCGTTTCTATGCTTAATTTGTTTGTTTTTTCGTTCGAGTTCAGGTGAATTTAAGCTCATTTAGGATGCAAACCCAAAACGGTCATGTTACACACACACAACCTTGTCTATTAATAAAATTCTTTAATCAATGCTAATGTTACTTTAATTTATATATATATCTCTCTCTCTCTCTCTGTATTTTTCTGTTCCGTTGCTTCTTGATTGCTGCTACAGTGAATCGGTTCAAACATACTCGTTCGTATTGACAAGCAGTGATTCGAAATGGAGATTTGGATTCTGTCGACACGATGCCAAAGCACAAACGGCCATGGTTATCATCACATATTTGCCGTGGCACGATACATTTCTAAAGTTTCTCAATGTGCTCGGAGAGTTGAAGCGAACATCGAAAAATGATTTTCAACCATTTTTAGCCGAAGCCTATGCAAAAGGCGTTCCTGAGCCTGGCGCATGCCTCAGACTTTTTTACAATTCAGGATTGAGTGTGAGTGTTTTAGTTATGCGCCATCCGTTAAATGAATCATGATCAAACTTTTTATGTACATAAACTCCATCAAAGATGACCAATCCTTTTGACGCAATTTCATTTATCCCACAAATAGAGTTTCGACTTTCAACGGCCGTCACAGTTTCAATTGCCAAGCATTCCAGAGAATCATAATTTGAATTTATATTATAATTTTGTCGATCCAAAGAATATGATTGCCGTGTTTGCGGCCATGTTGGCTGAACGGCGACTCGTTTTTACATCGCAACGCTTGGATAGGCTATCGAGCAGTGTGCAAGCGGCGCATGCATTTCTATATCCAATGGTATGGCAACATATTTTCATACCAATTTTACCACTAAAAATGAAAGAGATTCTGTGCGCGCCAATGCCATACTTGATCGGTGTACCCGAAGCAGTATTAGAAACAGTAAGCCGGCTAAGTTAAAAATGACTATTCCATTATAATAATTTCCGAATTGTTCGTTTTGTAGATGACACGCGAGGAACTGGGCGAGGTGGTCATATTGAACTGTGATAATAAATATTTTGAATCGCCATTTGACGATGTGAAAAATATGCCGGCTGAATTAGTGTCACAATTGAAGAAGCAATTGAGCAATCAACATGATCACATTGGTGATCGTGTGTCGAAAATATTTCTCGGTGTTTTGGTGCAGCTGATCGGTGGCTACAGAGATGCCATCAAATTTAGTCAAGGTGCTAAATTGACATGGTGCCGTGAAACGTTCATCGATTCACGGCCATCACATCTTCGGCCATTCCTGCGTGATATGCTTGAATTGCAAATATTTCAACAATTCATCGAGGAACGTTTGGAAATGCTGAACACCGGTCTTGGATTCTCCGATGAATTCGAATTGGAAACGTTGCGACACCACGAAAAGCCAAGACAACGAATCAAACCGTTTCTCCGAAATGTGAAAGATAAAGTAAGTAGCGTGATTAAGCTTGAACTTAGGATTTTTTTCATTGGGTTGTGGGTTAATGCTTCTTTCAATTTTTTTCATAATATAAAACAAAATAATCACCACACACTTATAATTGTGATTTAAAAAAGCATAACGTCAATTGCTATCGATTAAATAATCTTGACAACTTTCGTAGAACGCTTGCTTTTTCTTTGTATGTATCGTGGGCTTGTCAAGTTTTCTGAATCATTTATCAGTCTCTCTATTTCGTCATTTTCTCCCATTGCAGACTAATCCAGCCGTCAAATCTGCTGTGCAGTCGGTGAGTCGGGTTTTCATTTACCTTCTATAATTTAGTTGGTTATATCTCATAAGCTTTCCATTTCCATTGATCATTAGGCCATCGGCTTTGGTTTTAGCAATACTATCACATGATAATTCGATCGTTGTGTACGATTTTACTTTAACGATCACTAATCATATGCTAATTTTTATTTAACCAATCCATATCCGCAGCTATGATGTTAATAATGTTGTTTATTTGTTTGTAACAGGTGAAACAAGGAGGCCGTGGCATGAAAACTGCGTACAAAGGCCTAAAATCCAAATTGAGCGACCGTACACCGTCAAAGGAGAGTTCATCGCGTTCCGGTTCGGTAGCATCTGCACCGTTAGCCAGCGGCTGTCGTTCCGAACCGAATTCGCCGGTATTTACAAAAAGACCACAAAGTGATTTAATTTCAATAAGTAACAGTAGCACGCATCGCAGCAAACCACCAAAAATGCTTCAAACCTCCAATTCAATGATAAATAATTCAAATTTAACCAATCATTTCAACAATAACATAACAATTAACAACAATAGTAGCAGTAGCATTGTTGCTGCGATGGCATCGGCTTCGACAGCCAGCGCCGCCGCGGCCACCACTCAAAATGGTAATAGCATCATTTCAAAGCCAAACCATGGCAATGCCATTAGTCATTCGATTAGTAAGAGTCCAATTACAGTTAGCTCAAGTCCTACCAGTTCGCTATCGTCGACATCTGAAATGAATATTTTGCAAGAACTGCAACAACATGCCTTGTTCAAAATGCCAACGGTCGATCGAAGTGTAAGTCCGTTCAAATCCATCCTATACTCTATTTTTGTTGTTGTTATCGTTGGTTTTTTTTTTTAATTCCCTTACAAATCCGTTTTTTTTTCGGTAATGTTGTCGTTTTATTTTATTTTTTTCTTAAATTAATTTTACTTTTCTAATATTTCGTCTGTTTTCTTTTTTCTATTGACACCTTTTTGTGATGCGTTTGCAATATAACATGTTATTGGGTTATGCTGGTACTTTGATGTAGTTAACGATTGCCATTTATCTAATATGTTTTTACGTTTGGTTTCTTTTTTATCTTGGTTTATTGAATATTGTTCAATTTTTCACGCTTGCTTCGCCAAAATGCTACATTTTTTTTCTCTATTTTTTTTTTAAAACGACAATATTTTTCAAATGAAATTTTTGTTATTCTCTCTCACATACACGTCACAAAATGCACACCATTTTTATTCTCTCTCTCTCACACTTTTTAGTTATTATATCATAATTTACAAAAGTAACGTTTTTGATCGCCACACACAACATACCCAAAACGAATGTCATGACATGCATACACGTGAAATACCGCACGCACCTTTATTTTATTGAATAATTTCCGCATTCTTTCTCAACAATAAGAAGATGCACATTTCGATGCACTTCGGTAGACTTTGTTATTGACTATATAGCTACAGTTTTAATTTTTTTTAATACACATTCCTAAGTAAGTTGTTTTTGTTGGTTTTGCTTTACATTCATTTGCGTTATCTGTTCGTTTTTTTTTTCAATTCCCTTTTTTCACATACAGTTTCAATTCATCTCCAGTGTTTATCCAAAATTGTCATGGAAGTGTGTGAAATGTTTCAAGATGATTGGCAAATCAATTCAAATTATTTTAGGAAAAAAGTAAATTTTTCGCGGAAAAAATGCAAAATAATCATAGTAATAATAAAATAGTTCAATTAATTCAGAACAAACGAATTTAACCAATAAAACATATTTACAAAAAAAAAAAAAAAAAAATCGTTAGAGAATTCGAATTCAAATTCAAAAATGATTTTTTTCAATTATTCATTTTAAATTAAAGAGAAAATTTAAAGGATAAAAATTGTCGAGAAAATAATGAAAAAAAAATATTAGAAAAATCACAGAAGAAATTTCGATGGAACAGGGCTTCTGGAGCAGGAGTCGAGAGACATTATTCTTATGTCGAAAATTTACCCATCATACCCATGAAAGAATATAAAAGTGAGAACACCCGTTTTACAGATCTCACTTTTCAAGGTTATACATCCAAATTTTGGAATTGAGTAAAAATTACCGATATCCTATTGCAAGTTTTTTGGAAAATTCAAACGACGAAGCTTTGAAAGCTCTGTCGATCGAATGATAAAAAAAAAAAAACAAAACAAAACAATTAAAAAATACGACAAAAAAATCGTTTTCGCATAATAAAAAAAAAATCGCCACATTTATCTTCATAAAACATCTGACATATGCATATAATGGCTAATTGGATAAACACCGTGGAATGTTGCATCTTAGTTGAAGAAAATAATTCCATTGTTTCATTATATTCACCTGTATATTCATGTTTTGGACACAAACCAGTTGAAGCCAGTAAATAGTACGGAGAACAGACGATCTAGTCGTAGTGGATCGTTGGTGAATACGCCCGATCATCAGGCAAAATCATCGACAATACCGCCTGGTACATTGTTTCCATTGGACGATGTTGGTGAATCATCGCCTTATTTGGAGGCAAGAAACGATTCATCGGCATCGAATAGTACGTGCAGTTTCGATGCACCACCGGATGTGCTGCCACCAGTTCCACCGCGAATAACGAATCCACCGCCACGAAACAATCGCAATGCAACGAGTGAACATTTAATCATAATCGATACCGATGATCAGGTTGATCCTGCACCCGTGCCAGCGGCTCGTAACAGAACGAAAACGGCAACACAACCTCCGCCACCACCACTGCCACCGCACAACAGTGTGGCCAAAGCGCCTGCAAACAATCGCAACGGTTTCGAGAATAATTTCGTACAAAATACAAACTCATTGAATCTACGGATTAATAATATTATAATAAATCGTACCGAATCGCTCATTGAACCATCGCCTAAACCACCGCCACTACCACCACAAAACTACAAATTGAACATGACCAATGAAACGAAAACATCCGAGGTATGTTTCGGATTCCATCACATCTATATTTCATTTGCACAGTTGAAGAAAAGAACATCACATGCTTTTTTGTTTATTACCGACTGTTTTTTTTTTGGCTTTTTGTGTATCATTGTGATGGTCACTAGAAATTTTGAACAATTCCCAATTTGCTTTGTCCCTTCTCTCCCAAAAAATGGTTTTGGTGCTTTATCAGTTTCTTTCTCCCAAAAGCAGATAAAAACATGTATATTTCTTGGTTTCCAGGTAAACAGTGATGTACCGGCGGATTTGATCGAATTGAATTCACGTGAAGAATCATTTGAAGTAGATGATTTTGATCCATTGAATCAGAATGCAAAACAAATACCAACCGTACCGAAGCGATCGCCAGTGGTGTTGCCACCGGTACTATCATCCGTACCGAAAGGTGCATCGCCGAATAGTAGCAATGCAGCATTCAGTAATCCAATGTATCCATACTTTGTACCATCATATTTGCAAAAAAAGGCTAACACAGCGCCAGTCACAAACGCGGTGAATAATACAAAAATCGATGACGATGTAGAACTACTGCGTAAATACGGTTTGGATCAATTTAAATTGATTGAACGCAATTCGAGAACATCAACATCATCGAATGACACAGCACCGCATCCATTTAGAATGGGCAGTGGCAATCAACACACAAATCGCACAAGTGAAACGTTTCGTGATAATGGCCTGCAAACAAACGGTGACATCCATCGGCCAAAAAGTAACAATAACTGGACTACATTTGACTGAATGGCCAACACATTTTTTTTTCTTCTTTCCATCAAATTGGAATATATTTTTTTGTGGTTTTTCACCGGGGAATAAAAGGCGAATTGTATTATATATTAAAAATAATGCTTGCGAGAAGAAACAAAAAGACGCTGTGAAGAATAGCAGAAATTCCCCAATTGTGTGTGGTGTAAATTATTTGAAATGAATTAGCTTATCGTAGTGATTAGTTAGCTGCAACTTGATTTTTTTTTTTTGAAAAGTTTGAATATGATTTGAATGCGGCTTGAAAATCGAAAATGAAATTAAACAAAAAAGACAAATGATATGTAAATTTGTATGGTTCCCCAGTATAAAGAGTGCAATCGAGTTGATTATTTTTGCAAAACCGAAAAATCGAGTCAAAGTCGAAGCTACTCATTTTATAGTCGAAAGAAAGATTTTACTTGTCTAGTACAACACACTTGGAATGGATATTTTAATGAGAATTTATTCAATTTAGACTGCAAAATTGGTATTCCGTGCTTTTTCACGAATTTAATCGAAAAGAAAAGAAAAAAAATAAGAAAATAAAACGTTGCAATGAATTTTTAATTTAAGCGTGCGGATAAACGATTGACTTTTTTTTGTTGTTGTTTGAATTGCCTTTGTTTTCCTCATTTGAGTGCGGATTTGATTAGAAAAGAAAAGAAAAGAAAAAAAAGAAAAAAAAAACGATTTTTTACAAGAGAAGCGAAGACGAATGAAAAAAAATTCATCACGATAATTAGTGTTGGAATTCTGTGAGCTTTTAGAACCGGTGAAATTATTTACGATTCATTTATACTGAACGAAATAAATGTGCATATTCAAATTTGAAACGTGTGTGTATTTTTTTTCTCCTATCAGTTTTCTTTTTTATTTACAACAGAATTTTAAAAACAATATTCGCATTCAGTTACATTATTTGAAACAATAAAATTGCTTCGGCGTCACTCTGTCGTGAAATTCGAATCAATTATATATATAAATTTTCAACTAAATTTTAGCATTTTCGTAACATAGTAATTCTAAATTCGCTTCCGCATTCTACGCCTATTCATTCGGTTGATTTCTGTGCTGATTTCAATACATCTTGGCCAACTAAATCGGTAATGCGTTTTATTTCGTTTGTTTCCAATGTGAAGGATTGTACGATTTTGCGACCAAATTGAATGGCATCACCGACGCCATTCTCAATGGAATATGCAACACATTGAATGGCGATACGTGGCTCTTTGTTCACCACACAACTGTCGATAAATGCGGACAACGCTTCATCGGTAAGACATCCAATGATTCGTTTATCTTTCTGTTGTTCCAGACAACTTTCCACAATGGTTCGGGCATTTTGGTGTCGATTGGCCTGCAGCAACAAAATGACAATGTTCGCTAGCCGTGTGGCTGGAATTAATTCTTCTTTGCGTGCGCTGGCAAATTGATCGTTCATCGCATTCTGATAGATGGTCCATGCAATTTCAGCAAATTGATCGACAAGACCGTCGTGTTCTTTGACATCGGCAAGAGGTTGATTGGTTGTCATCAGTGCTAAAATTGAATCATTCAATTGGCTACGCTTTGAAATGCCCGAAATGACTATATCTGTCCAGAATTTCGGTACATGTTGAATGGTTCCGGTTATATTGATGGTTGAGAAAATATCATCGGCTACACTTGGCTCAAGCGAATAGGTTTCGGGCACTAGTTGATCATATGTTCGAATGAACTCGGCAAATGTTTCATTATGTAAAATGGTTGTTAAAAAGTAACGATAATAGAATTGTTCTTGTTGTGCATCGCCAAGGAATTTGATATTATCCGAATGTGTAACAATGTTATCAATGCGTCGTGCAAGCGATGCGGAATTTCTTAATCGAAAACGGCATACCACCATTGCTTTGTAGAAGAATGTCAAATCATCGGGACCTTGGGCAATCAAATTCGGATTCTTTTCGATACGTTCCACAATCTGGTAGATAACATTGCTGGGCGGTGATTGTTTACCATGGAATATATCAAGCAAATGAGCATAGGTCTCAAGCGATGGTTCAATGTTTAGTGCTTGAAATTCGGCCATTGTTTGAACAGCGTAATCTATAATGCTATGAATATTACCACCGGCTTTGATTGTCGCCAAAATTGCGTTGAGAGTCTTTACATTTGGTTTGAGTTGTCGTTTATTAATGTCACCGAGTGTGATTTTAATTTGTTCCCATCGCATTTCGGCCGTCACACCCGGTTTGTTAATATTCCGAATGAAACTATTGTAGGTGGCCAAATCGAGTGGAATCTTCTTTTCGTTGGCCTCATTGTACAGCTCTTCGGCACGTTCAAGACTACTGAACTTATACAGACCTCTGATCATTGTATTATAGGCGGCCGGTGTTTTCGGTTCAATACTCTGGAATAATTGATCAGCGAAACTGTTCTCTACCCATACATCGGGCTTAGCATCACGTGATCGCTTGCTTGCTTCGGCCGAACCACGCGCCTCAAACATATCGAACGGTATTGGATCTTTGTGATTGTAAAAACACACCAATTCAAGGATATTCTGCTTGAGCTCATCCGGAACGGTCACATTTTTTGCCGTCAATAGTCGATAAATTAAAATGGCATCGCAAACATTCAATGATTCAACCGAATCTTCGAGACACTTCAAATCGACTTCACTCTCATCGGTGTAGACTGGCTTCGGGAAGAATGCTTCGATTGGCGGTTTCGCATCTTTTGACTGAAATTTAGAAAAAAATCAATTTTTTTCACATTAATTTCAATCAGAGATTTTATAACATTTTTTTTTTCATTCAAAGAATTGACAATAGGAAGGCTATTACTGTTCTTGGTAGAAAAAGAATTAGTCGATAAAAACAATAATTCCTCGAATGAAGACTTACGTTGAACAATTTTGCATGTTGTTGCTTAATCCATTGAGCCGTTTGTTTACCGGATTCTTTTGATAGTGCATATTGATCTCGGTTATAAAGTGATGTTGGTATGAGATACGGATCATCATGATACTTATAATGGGCTGCCGTTGGATCTCTGCCAACCGTTTTCGACAGAGTATACAATAAATCCGTGGGTCCACGATCGATTTTCTTTGGTATAACTATTCGCTGCGACTCATTTGCCGATTCCGTTGTTTTTTTTGCGGTTGCCGTTGATTGTCGTGCAAATAAATTTTGAACAATTCCATTGGATCCATTTTTGTACTTCATACGACTAATCCGAAACATTTTTTCTGTTATTCCACAAATTCCACTGTTTAAAAGGGAAACAAAGCAGCGAAACACTTTTTGGCCGAAATGTTTTGGTTAGAAGTTTCACATACGAACCACATTGACAGTTCTACATGGAACTGACAATAATACAGTCAATCATTGAACAGAAAAAGAAGGTTAGGTTAATCTATCCATTTGGATGAAATTCACTCACGCCATCTATTGATACTGATAGTAGCTTACCATTTTCCTTTATTTCTCACATGTTTCATTATCCTAATATTGGATTCGTTTCTTCCAATGTTATGTACAATATTTTCTTGCGCTCATTTACTACCCCTATTGCTGTGTGTTACAGGAATGAAAAATATCTTATTGTACAATATGTTTGTATGGTATAAAATCATTTGGCAAAATGAATTTAAAATCTATAGTTTTCCCGAGTCTTGCAGACGTAGCAGTGCATTTGTTAAATTATTCATGGCCTCAACTTTGATCTTTTCCACACGCTCCTGCAGCATAATGGCCATTTTTTGGAAATTCATTCGATCCTTGTGGCGTTCATCCTCTTTGTCCATTTTCTTTCGTTCCAATTCTAGCTTTTGTTCAAAATAGCCACGCCACCAGGTTTCATCCATGGTTGTGGTTACATTCAGTGCTGGTGCAAATGAACTGTCATTGTTTACATCCATGTCCTCGGCTTCCAATTGTTTTCGTTTCTTTCGTTGTGATTCACGTGGACGATAATTTTGTTCGGATTCCGGTGAATCTCTAGTATAGGCATTGGAGAGGAAAATATCAGATTAAATTTATGTTCAGATATTCAAGGGAAAAAATTTATACTACCTATCCTCTACGGAGGTATCGGCCGTTTTTCGTTTGGATGTGCCATTTTGTTTTGGTTCTGGTTCGCTGTAATCCATTGAATTTTCTTCGGGCATTTTTTTATTGCGAAATATTGCGTGCATATCATTGAAGAATTCCCAATTTACCGAACCGGGCTCTCTGTCTGTATTCTTCTGATATGTGATTGTGATGTTGTGCCATTTTTTCGAGACTTTTTCCGGTGTAAAATCATAGCCAGCATCTCGCATTTTATTCGATATCTCGAGCCATAGTTGACTTTTGCGTGCGCCACTTTGGTCAAATTCAGCATCGCGTTCACCACGCAATTTGATAAGGTATCGTGTTGCTTCGACCGTCCAACAAAACGGTGTTCGAGTAACGGAATCTGAATAGCCTAGTGGAGGAAAAAAAAAATCAATTTTTTAGTATCAGAAACTTTTAGATTTGATCTGAGTGGTGGACACTATGACTGAATCTGCTAGAAAAAAGTGTCCCGTACTCGATACTTACTATTTTCATCGTGAACCAACAGAGGTTCCAGTAGATCTGAATGGTAGTTTCCTTCAGCCTTGGCAATTTTCACACCAAATGTGCGGGTGAATTTTATGTCGTCTAAATGGAGAGTGGAATTAGTATACATTGTTCTATCGATACTCTCTACTTGAAGCAAAAACCAAATCAAAATTAAATCAAACTTAGTCTAGATATGCGATCACATCAGATGTTCTATGTATTTCTTTACCTTTGCTATCCTCCAGGTCAAAATCGTCGTCATCTTCGTACTCTTCTTCAATATGAGCATCATAATCTTCGCTGTGTCGTCGCCTTGATTTCGCCGAATCATTTTTACTGTGTCGACTTTGTGCGGGTAATGCCTTCAGTTCGGCCAATGTCAGTGGCTTGGCCGTTTTGATGAGAATTTTTCGAGTGGCATAGTCAAGAATCTGATTTGGAAAATGAATTTCACACACATAATAGTTGTTGATGGTAATATCCCCAATATCGACACGTCTCATGAGATCGGGCCGTTCACAAATAACCAGCCATTCCTTTGCCCTATGCAATCGAAATAAAGTTTTTGTTTGAATGAAATTATTCGCATTCTTCAAAAGACAATCGTTTCTCTCTTGAAATAGAGAAAAAAAAACTGAAACGATTCTCTGTTCATTTGACCAGACCAACCTTGATAATTCTTTTGGGAATCGAAAGAAACTCATATTGGGAAAACGTTGATGAGTGTTATTGCATCCAGTCATGGAGCATGTTTTCCCCTTGCGTCCGCCGACCTGAATCTCGTTGCTATCATCTAATGTATAATTCATGTTGACCTCACGACCTCCACACCGACTCTTAACACGTTAAACTGATAGCAAATGATAAAAAAAAATGTAAAGAAACACCCAAATCCTCGATTAGTCTCTCTGTTTTAGTTACTGTGTTTATTTACTATTCGGAAATTTTTCAAATTTTCAGTTGTGCACACTCGATGGTGTGTTTGTTGAGCAAAATTTAGATCAAATGAACGGTATTTTTGTGATAAACATCAAATGGAATCGTATTCAAAATTAACAAATTGTCACATGGACGACCAAATATTGTTGCTTCTCTCGGTGAAATAGTAAGAAAAATCAACAGTTCAAAAATAAGAAAAATAAACTGTAAACTGATTCCAATAAAATCCGATGTCAAAATGTTTGATTTATATTCTTGGAAAATGAAAATCGTCGTTTTTTATTCTCTCTCGATTTACGCGTGTTCGTTTCCCTACCGGCAAATCCTAACGCGTAAGCATTGCTTCTAATTCAATGTTTGTTGTTATTGTTTTTCGTTTCTTCGTTGCCGAGAGCACTCGATATCTCACTCAGTACGCATGCGATGTAACTAAATTAACCAAGTGATTTTGAAAACAAGTGTGTACGTACTAATTCCAAAAAAATTCTAGATTCCCTCGGCGACTAAATTTTTGGTGTGTGACACACACATTCATTTGCCGATAAAATGTTGAATGATATGGAAAAAGATTGATAGAAACAACTGGTTCTAGTTTTTCTTCGAATGAAAAGCCGAATGCTGATAACAAAAAAAAAAAAAACAAAAAGAAAAACAATCGGACCAACAAACACAGCACTGGGCGAAGTTAAATTCAATGCAAATGCACAGGACCCAGCGGAAACACAGAAACTGTGTGATATAAACGAAATATGAAGAGGCGAGAGCATGGAGAAACAAAAGACCAAAGAGAAATGAAACAATGTGAACGATACAATAATTCATCAGTTTGGCAATATTTTTTCTACATATTGGCTACAGCGGTTCGAATGACTACCATTTTTCAAATGCAAGTGCGAGTGAAATAGAGAGTGACGATTGTGAGTCACACTAAATGTGCTGTGTGCTTGAAACAGGCACAATATCGAAAACCCTCTCGGTTGTATGTTTTGAATGTGCATTCGCACTACACACACTTGTAGTTATTTGGATATATGCTTTGCATGGTTTGGTTTATTGTTCTCCGTTCGGATCTTCGTGCTCTCCATGTGGTTGTGCGTGTGCTTATGTGTGTGTGTGTGTGTGTGTGTGTGTGTATGAACGAAGCACAGTGAAAAGAACGCAAAAAACACGACTGATGCAGATTTTTCGGCAATAGTCTGAGACTAAGTGATAGCGTCTCTCTTTCTCGTTCACCATTTGTGAATGCTTCTTGAGGCAACGCAGAGAAATTCTGTGCTTAAATATCTCAAGATATTGGCGTTATTGTTGCTGTTTTTGTTATTGTTGTTGCTTGTTTCCTCTTTTTCTCTCACTACCTACTGACAGCTGTATGTAACTTTCTTCGTATCTGTACATTGCAAGTGACTTTCATATCCTCGACAAAATTCTTGGATTTTTCTCTCTCAAAATTTCAATATTACTGCCGAAAATTCCAATTATTTTCCAAAACCTAATAAAATTTCGAATGAGCAACGTCTAATCCCTATCTTATTCATTACATTTTTTGTAATCATTTCAAAACGAATGTATGTATTGATCATGTACCTGGTTACTCTAAGAGCTGGTTCGTGTACTCTTGATGATTGACGCAAGAAGAAACCGACAGTAATAAAAACCAATGGCCAATGGATTTGTGGTTGGGTCTTCGAGAAATTGCTAGTTGAATCCGTGCACATCGAAGAACAGATAGCGACTAGCTTCGCTAAGTTACCAAGCGAGAAATCTTGAAAACGAAAAAATCCTGAACTCTCCGTCCGCTTAACGCACACACACGCACACATACACATGAATTCATCGATATAAAAAAACAAACCCGAGAGCTCGACTGTATCGTACCGAAAAACATCGACACAGAATTGGTCGGAAAGCAGAGAAACAGAGAAGAGAGCAAAAGGAAGGAATAAAGGAACATAATATACATTATCTACATCAGTGCGGGTAATACTATATGCGGTGCTCGTCGCTATGTGTATTACAACAACAACGGCAACGGCAACGACAGCAGCACATACAGAGAGAGAAACCGTGAAAATCCACATTGTACCGAACCTTTCGTTCCTTCGACTCAATGAATCATGTATACGTTCATTTGCTACTGCTGCACATATACAGTATCGCACCCTTGCTGATTTTGCTTCAATAACTTTGTCCAGTATGTTGAACCAACCAAAATGTTATTGCTTTTGCCTCGTCGTACTCTGTCTTTCGCCTTTTGTCGCACATGCAGCTGTCGCTTCCCATTTATCGAACCAATGATAATTTTCCACTATATATACTCTACCTCTATCCTTCTGACAAAGTGAAATTCTTTTCTATATTGACATAAGATTCCTAGTCTGAATGGCTGTCATTATCGTTCAGAGAGAGAGAGAAAGAGAGAGAGAGAGAGAGAGAGAGAGAGAGAGAGAGGGAGGGAGAGAGAGAGAGAGAGAGAGAGAGTGTGTGTGTTGTTGTTGTAAGCGGGAATTTTTTGGCTCTTCAGAAACGACGACAACACACAGCAAGAACTCGGCAGTTATCCATCATTTGTACGGCGTTGTCTTGTTATCCTTGTGCTTGGTGTCGTGCACATACACTGAAGTGTCGTCCTAAACTAGGGGCACTCATGCGAGAGACTCTTACATTATTATCGGTATATACCATACCATGAACAAATCTATATCATAACATTTCGATAAGGGAACCCATTTTGATAATATAAACACCAACGGGACAAATAGTTTAGAAAATAAATTTTTATTTTGCCTTTTTCTTCTATAGCTTTCAAACATACTAATTAATTATTCATAGTAGATATTGGTTTTTTTTTTCTTTTCTATGTCCATAACAAAATTACTCCTATAAAATGGTCAAATACAATTTTTTTTTCTTTAATTTAAATGTTAAATTACAAAACAAAGAGAGTGAGAAAAAAAAATGCTTAGTTAAACTTAATTGAATCATTTGTACAGAAAAAAACATGTTGTATGTGTGTGTGTGCTTATAAAATGTGGTGATTGATCGGATGCTCATTCGACTGGGGTCGTTTCCTCGTGTTTTGAATTGCTCTGTTCGTTTTTCCCATTTTCAAAATTCTCTTCGATTTTTCCATTTTCTACGGTATCATTGCCACCTTCGTCGTCTACGTCGTCATCGTCGTCGATATCACTGACACTTCTCGGCCCAAATTCCTCTTCATTTATGGTGATTTCAATTTTCCACAGAGATCTTGCGGCATCTTTGAATTTATTGATGCATGCCCGAATATCATCCTCACCGCTGCCAGGACTCAGTGCTTTGCATAACGATTCAATCACATCTTGTTTGATATTTTTCACCGCAATTTCAATTTGTTCCTGTGTTGCATTCTTACTGGTTCGTGTAATGTATTCCAAAATGGTCATATTAACATCGATGCCGCTAACTTCCTCTTCATCATCATCTCCGCCATCATCATCATCATCGTCATCCCATTCGCTTTTCGGTTCGTTTTGTTTTTTCGACAATTTTAACAGATGCTGATCGATTAACGACCAAATTGTGATCATTTTCTGGAAACATTTTGCATCGAATGGATCGTCCAGCGTTTGAATTAATTCGTTTACATTTTCGATGAGAATCTGTTCGTTTGATGACAATGGTAGCAAATAAACGGGTTGACACAGCGGTTGTAAACACTTTGAAATGCACTCCATCAACTGTGGAATGAATGGTTCATAGCATTTCCGTGATATGGTATCATACTGTGACAGAATGACATTTATGTCGAGGAATAGATTCATGATGCGTTGTGTTCGTTTTGTCGGTGCCGCAATATCGTCATCGATGATTTGACTATTGTTTACCTGAGAATGTTCACCACCGTTGCCATTGATGCTCTTATCGTTGGTGGTGATGGTGATGGTGGTGGTGGTGGTGGTCGGCATACGCGGCATATCTGCATGCGGTAGCATTTGTTTGAATGCTTCAATCACACCAGACACTAATACTGGTTTCACAAATACATCCCGGAATCCACTTGAATCGGTGATTTCTGGTTGAATTTCAATGATCGCAAATTTCGTACAGATTGCATTGAGCGCTTCGTATGCATGCACCAAAAGGGATGTGCTCATTGAATTGGACAATAAAAATGCGAATCGATCAACAAATTGATCGGCACAACGGAAATGCTGAAACCAAATATACTCATCGCCACTATTTTCAAACACCAGGCACGTATGAAATAAACGCATCAATTGCACCAAAATCAATGAGTCCGAACATGAAATCAAATCGATGATCGGTATCATAACATCGGGCTGTTGGCATAATGCTTCGCGCGTTTGTGATATTGAGCACATATTACCAATGATACCGAGTAAAATTTCCACCAAACGCTGATCTTCGCTCATTTGAATTAAACTGGAAAATATTTCCAACACATTATGCTCCAGCAACAATTTAATCACATCCTTTTCAATGGTCATGTCCCACAATGTACACAAATCCTTTTCAAACTCTTCGCTCAGTTTACTTTCCACTTTATTGAGATTGAGCAGCGTTTGCAGCACAAAGCGTTTACTGTACAATGTATCGCCGATGGCATCCACCAAGAAAATATCCTTCAGCTCATCGGGCATTTTATCCGGATTACAATTTTCACTATCGCTTGGCTTTGATGGTTCGGCTTCGGGTTCAGGTTCAACCGTATCGGCCGTACCATTTTGTTGTTCATGACTTTGTGTGCCCGACTCAGTATTTGTTTCATTTTCGGGCACCAAATCTTCACTTGGTTCACCACTTGGCTTCTCCATAATTAATTTTGCCCAAGAATTTCTTGTCTTCTTTTTTTTCCTTAACTGACTTTTAAAATTTCAATTGAATTTCTATGGTTTTAAGGCCGACTGCCTGACGTGATTGTTTATGGCCGAATTTCATACGAGCACTAAACCAATGGAACACGAAGCAAATGACATAACGAAGCAGCTAACTTGCATCGGCTTGACGTTGCCCACAGTAATATTCAAAAAAAAAAGAAGAGAAGAAATGAAATAACTTCAAAACACTTAATTTACAATGACTGAATGCTTAAATAAAACGAAGCTAATTACATTTATGATTTAGTTTGTTCGCCTCTTTGAATATGAATCGTATGACGCTTCGAAGACTAATTGAAGAGGCGAGAGAGAGAGAGGGAGAGAAAAAAATTGAAATTTCCTTCTTAAGCTAATGGAGAATACTTTGTCAAATGTATAAATTATAAGTACACACAATATTTGACACAAACCGAATTTTGACACTTCTTAGCTGTCAAACAAAAAGTAATAATAGACATAGCCGTACACAAGCCAGTATTAGTATTACTTTCGCTCTCTTCGTTCATTGTTTTTCTTTTTATAACAAACAAATGTGAATGCAATTTTTCTGTTTCGATTAAAGCACTTCAGGCTATAATTATAATCGACGGTGTAATTTGAGCATCTCAGGATGATAGCGAACAACGACTCGTGTCGGCTGTGCTCTTTAAATAACGACGATTTAACGAACATCTTCAGTGAGATCGGCATCGAGCATAAAATGCGCGATATCATCAACGAACACTTTAAAAGCAAAGTACACACGAATTCATATCATTTCGAAAGTTTTATAAAAATTGTTGAATTTTCCTTCCTCTCTAACTTTCTCGATTTAGATCAGTGAAACGGATTTGTTGCCGAATTTTGTGTGTGAAATATATTGGACCATAACCGAAGCCTTTCATGAATTGTATCAAAAAGCCAGAACAGTGGAGCGAAATTTTGCCGATTGTCATTGCTAAAATTTGAAAGTGATTCGTGCGACACAATGGAGCAAACATTCGATGAAGATTCACAGGGTGTCAGTTTAATCAAAATTGAACCGAATTTCGGTGAGTTTTTATTTTTCATTCCGTTTCGAATCCAAATTTTAATTAAGTTTGATTTCTGTGATGTAGAAGAGGATTCACTTGAGGCTCAAATGACTAACCATGATTCATGTGAGATAAGCGACGTGAAAATTCAAAATGGAGTCACGAAGAATAGCATGGACTTGAAATATGACAATCGGAAAACAAAAGGTACGTGAATCAATCTGGAAATAGAAAATTTTGGAGTTTTTTCTTTTAAATTTGAACGAAAATTTCAGGAAAAGTCGAGCCTTATCAAACGTCAACCACACAAAAGAAGACAATGGAGTTTGAGAAGTTGTTTTCGGAGAATAAGCATCGTTTCGATATGACGTGCGATGCATGTCCAAAGATGTTTGACTCGTTAGACGAGGCTCGAAGCCATTATGCCAGCGATCACAACAATCCTCGTGGCTATATAAAGTGCTTGCACATTGAAACACCATTGAAATACAGAACATTTGCACTAAAATGCTTTGAAATCGATTTGCAGGTGCTGCAATGTCAAATTGATCTATCGTTGCAAAGTGGTAAAGCATCTGTATCGGCATTTGGACCCGGATAAATTCAAGTGAGATTAACTCTTTTAGCCGAATTTAAATTTTTCTTAGGGTTTTAATCATGATTAAAAAGATTCTGAAATAACAAATGAATCTTCTAAAGGTGCTTATGGATTTTCAGATGTCATGAATGTGGAAAGGTGTACATTGCTTTTCACGTGCTCAAGGCACACATGAAACAACATGATGCCAACAATCCGAATGGCGAAAGAGAAATGGTCATTTGTGATATTTGCAAAAAGGCGTTCACATCGAAGATCTACTTGAAGAAACATTTGGAATGGCATACGACAGGACAGCAGACAGACGATGAACACTATCGAACATTTATTGCTGATAACTTTGATATGAATTGCGACCAATGCGATGTAGTGTTTACCACTTTCCATGACGCGAGGCGTCATTATAGAGACTTGCATAATGTGAAAAAAGGCTATATAAAATGCTGTTCAATGAAATTAAACGAATTCTGGCTGGTGATTGACCACATTAATTCGCAACATTTAAACCCAAAGGTTTTCAAGTATGTGCAGTCAGATTCCATTCTTTCTTTTTTATCTACTTTTTGATATCATTTTTCAAAATTAAAATTTATCAATCATTGCAGATGTGAATTGTGTGATAAAATGTATGCCGATCGAAAGCGATTTTATCTGCACAAACGGCGACACAAACAGGCAACTATGATGCCATTCATTTGTGATTATTGCGGTAAACATTTCGCAAACAAAGAAACTATAACACGTCATTTGTTCAATACGCACGTTAAGTCTAAACCAAAATTCGAGTGCGAAACATGCCATAAAAGATTCCAGTTGATGTCGTTATTGCGCAACCATTACTATTCGGTGCATCGTGAGAAAAAGGCGAATGTCACTTGTGAAATATGTGGAAAATCATTCGAAATAAAAGCCAATTTTGACAAGCATATGCTATTGCATACGGATAAATCCGAGCGTTTAGCGCAACGAAAACAGTGTTCGCACTGTGGCGAGTGGCTGATGACGAAAAGCGGAATTTATTACCATGATATAATTCATAATAGCGGAGTTCAAAAGTGCAATCAATGTCCCACAGAATTACCACATAAACTAGCTTTGATGGCACACATTCGCAAATACCATCGTGAGCCCAAGCATAGATGCAACCACTGTGGCAAAACATTTGAAATTGGCTCGAAATTAAGAGTGCGTATCTCAGATTTCATACATTTCTTTATAAAATAACCAATTACCAATTTCTTTTATTCATATTTCCCGCCCTCCAATCTCAATCACAGGAGCACGAAGACAGTCATACACGCCAGAACATTTACCCGTGTTTCGTCGCAAATTGTTCGAAGACATTCACTGTGTTGAGTTCAAGGCAGACACACATGCGACGCAACCACCCCGAAGAACAGAAGGAAAGAAATAAAATGAGAAAAATGCTACAGCTCACTCCATCTTAATCTACTTCTCTATTCGAACACTCTTTCAGTTTTTATCCGTTCACATTTTTAAAGAAGCTCAAGACGAGTTTAAGATAAAATTCACATTTTTAAATTAAAAAAGAAGAACTCAATACTGATATTTGTAAAATTAAATCGAAGATTTGTTAGAAATTCGAATTTAGATACCAGTGAATTGTTCATTGTTTTTTTTTTAAATAAAAAATGTGTTATGTTTTACGATAAATATAATGGTTTATTTGTTGTTTCTAATTTAATATAATTTCAATTAGTGTATCATGCTTCTCACACAATGAGTTCGGTACCTAGAATTTGCTAAAGTTCCTGTGAAGCGTGTCTTCAACAATAAACCAGCATTTTCTCATTAAAAATTGAAAATTATTCAGAAATAAATAAATTGTACAATTTTCAATTGAATCGGCCTTCAATAATACCAACAAAAGGTACTACCAAACAAACCATCTGACAACACTATTGCATTGACAGTCATATTGTCAAGTAATTGGGTTCAAAACCAAATGTTGTCGAAAGTACTGATGTCTCAATGGAATAATCCAAGTATATTTTCTAAAAGTTAAAATTAAATTTTGCTGTTGTTCAGATAATGATAAAGCGATAATTCAGAATGGATCGGGAGCAATGTTGCCGTTTGTGTATGTCCACAAACACCGAAGAACACCTGAACATATTCAGTGACATTGGAACAAAAATGAAACTGAGTGAAATCATCAGCGAACATTTCGAATGCGCGGTAAAGAACTAAATTGCATTCATTGTTAAGATTGAGTTTCATGGACCAAATTCATGCTTCATCAAATAGGTCAGTGAGCTGGATCCATTGCCGAATTTCGTGTGTCAAGCGTGCTGGAAAACTACAGACAACTTCCATGAACTGTATCAAAAGTCGAAAACAGTTCAAGAATCATTTCTAAAATCATCGATTAAAGTAGAACCGAATGAGAGCGAACTGTGGCACAGCCATCAGGAAACCATTTTCATCGAAGAACCACAATTTGTGATTGGCCCAATTAAACTCGAAACAAATCAAGGTAAACTAGCTGTAAAATCGATGAAAAAATATTGTGATCTAAACTTCGAAATTCCAGACGAATCAAACTCTAGCGACACTGATGCAGGGGATTACAGCGACCATACGAACGATTCGGATGAAATTATTGAAGAGAAAAACGACAAAGAAACTAAGGAAAAGTCACCGACTAGTAAATGGGATAGTATTTCAAGCAACAAGAAAAAAGGCATAAAAATGAGAGACAGAGAGCACGTACAGTACGATAAGCTATTTGCTGAGCACAAACATCAATTTAACATGAATTGCGAATCGTGTCCAATGACATTCAAAACGCTAGAAGAGGCGCGAAAACACTATGCCAAGAAACACCAGAATCCAAACGGTTACATCAAATGTTGTAGTTTTAGACTCAAGTATCCATATCAAGTGGTGAGACATCTAAGAAAGCATCAGCGTCGTAGTCGCAATAAAAAGCAGTGCAGGTTATGCTTCAAATTATTGGGCTCAAATTATGCTTTGAAGAAGCACATGAACCTACACGAGGAAAGAAATGAAACCAGCGATGAAGAGTTCATGAAATTCCTAAAAGAAAACTTTGACCTGAATTGTGATCAATGCGATACCATGTTTAGCTCATTTAACCATGCTCAGCAACACTACAAAGAATCTCATGGTAATGACAATGGTTACTTCAAGTGCAAGAGTTGTAAAATTAAAGTAAAACAATTTTCCATGCTCAAACATCACGTTGAATCTCACTCAATCAAAGCGCCAGAGACTTTCAAGTAATTTTAATTCAATCATTTTCAGCATAGACCATAAAGAAGACACATATTGATTGGAAAATCGTTAATTTTTGCAGATGTGATATGTGTCCCAAAGTGTTCACAACCAAAAGAGCAATATCCCTACACCAAAGAGCGCATCGATTGACTATGAACAAATCATTTATTTGCCATTACTGTGAAAAGCCCTGCAGAGATAAATTCGCAATAACACGACACATATTTAATATACATATGGAGGATCTGGAGCGAAAATTCGCATGCGATATTTGCGATAAAAAGTATGCATCTCTATTGTCCGTACATTAAATCCAAACGAAAAAAATTGTTGATTGAAATTTGTATAAAAATTTTGATTATTTGACACTAGGTTCCACATACTGGAGCTGTTAGAGAGGCACATTTATGCGGCACATCGAGAAAAGAAACGAGAACACACATGCGAGATTTGTGGAAAATCATTCGATGTTAAAGGCAATTTTGACAAGCATATGCTATTGCATGAGGACAAATCCGAGCGTTTGGCGCAACGAAAACAGTGCAAACACTGCGGCGAGTGGCTGTCAAGAAGTGGAATTTATTACCATGGTATAATTCATAATAGCGCGGTTCAAAAGTGCGATCAATGTCACGCGGAATTTCCACATAAATTTGCTCTGATGGCACACATTCGCAAATACCATCGTGAGCCCAAGCATAGATGCAGATACTGTGATAAAACATTTGAAATTGGATCGAAATTAAGAGTGCGTATCTCAGATTTCATACAATTCTTTCCAAAACAACCAATTACAATTTCTTTTATTCATATTTCCCGCCCTCCAATCTCAATCACAGGAGCACGAAGATACTCATACACGTCAAAACATTTACCCGTGTTTCGTCGCAAATTGTTCGAAGACATTCACTGTGTTGAGTTCCAGGAAGACACATATGCGACGCAGCCACCCCGAAGAACAGAAGGAAAGAAATAAAATGAGAAAAATGCTACAGCTCACTCCATCTTAATCTACTTCTCTATTCGAACACTCTTTCAGTTTTTATTCGTTCACATTTTTAAAGAAGTTCAAGACGAGTTTAAGATAAAATCCTCATTTTTAAATTAAAAAAGAAGAACTTGATATTGAATTTGGCCAAATTAAATCAAATAACAAATTTGTTGCAATTTTGAATTTTGAATTTATGTACCAATTTTTTTTTATTGATTACTTTGAAATAAAAAATGGTTTTTGTTTTAAAATTATTTGTTATTTCGGATTTAATTTATGTATTATGCTTCTCACACAATGGGTTCGGTACCTGGAATTTGCTAAAGTTCCTGTGAAGCGTGTCTTCAACGATGAACCAGCATTTTCTTATTGAAAATTGAAAATTTTTGAGAAATAAATAAATTGTTCAATTTTCAATTGAACCGACCTTCGATAATACCAACAAAAGGTACTACCAAACAAACCATCTGACAACACTATTGCATTGACAGTCATATTGTCAAGTAATTGGGTTCAAAACCAAAAGTTGTCGAAGTAAACGAATTGTTTACTCGGGGGAATAATCCAATTTTATATTCTAAAAGTAGAAATAAAATTTTGCTGTTTTTCAGGTTATGATAAAACGATAATTCAGAATGAATCGGGAGCAATGTTGCCGTTTGTGTATGTCCCCAAACACCGACGAACACCTGAACATATTCAGTGACATTGGAATCGAAATGAAGCTGGGTGAAATCATCAGCGAACATTTCAAGTGCGAGGTAAACAAAATGATTTACGTTCATTGTCAAGATTAACTTTCACAAACAAAACTAATATTTTATCAAATAGATCGGTGAGCTGGATCCATTGCCGAATCTTGTGTGTCAAACGTGCTGGCAAACCACAGATAACTTCCATGAACTGTATCAAAAGTCGAAAACAGTTCAAGAATCATTTCTTAATTCAACGATAAAACTAGAACCAGATGAAAGTGAACCGTGGCACAGCCATCAGGAAACCAACTTTGTCGAAGAACTACAATTGGAGGTTGGCTCAATTAAACTCGAAATAAATCAAGGTAAACTAGCTGTAGAATCGATGCATTAAAAAAAAAATTGATTCAAGCTTCAAAATTTCAGATGAATCAAACTCTAGCAACACTGATGCAAGGGATTACAGCGACAATACAAATGACTCGGATGAAAAAATTGAAGAGAAAAACGACAAAGAAACCAAGGAAAAGTCACCGACTAGTAAATGGGATAGTATATCAAGCAACAAGAAAAAAGGCATAAAAATGAAAGACAGAGAGCACGTACAGTACGATAAGCTATTTGCTGAGCACAAACATCACTTTAACATGAATTGCGAATCGTGTCCAACGACATTCGAAACGCTAGAAGAGGCGCGAAAACACTATACCAAGAAGCACCAGAATCCAAACGGTTACATCAAATGTTGTAGTTTTAGACTCAAGTATCCATATCAAGTGGTGAGACATCTAAGAAAGCATCAGCGTCGTAGTCGCAATAAAAAGCAGTGCAGGTTATGCTTCAAATTATTGGGCTCAAATTATGCTTTGAAGAAGCACATGAATCTACACGAGGAAAGAAATGAAACCAGCGATGAAGAGTTTATGAAATTCCTAAAAGAAAACTTTGACCTGAATTGTGATCAATGCGATACCATGTTTAGCACATTCCACGATGCTCAGCGACACTACAAAGAATCTCACGGTGATGACAATGGTTACATCAAATGCAAGAGTTGTAAATATAAAGTTAAACGATTTTTTACGCTCAAACATCACGTTAAATCTCACTCAGTCATCAAAACGCCAGAGACTTTCAAGTAATTTTAATTCAATCATTTTCAGCATAGACCACAAAGAAGACATAAATTAATTAGAAAATCGTTAATTTTTGCAGATGTGATATGTGTCCCAAAGTGTTCACAACCCAAAAATCAATAACTCGACATAAAAGACAGCATCGAATGACTATGAACAAATCATTTATTTGCGATTACTGTCAAAAGCCCTGCAGGGATAAATTAGCAATAACACGACATATATTTAATAAGCATATGGAGGATCTGGAGCGAAAATTCGCATGTGATATTTGCGATAAAAAGTATGTATCTCTATTGCCCTCAATCCAATAGAAATTTTATTGAAATTAAAAAAAAAAAAATCTTGATTGTTCGATAATATTAGGTTTCACTTACTAAAGTTGCTAACGAGGCACATTTATGCGGCACATCGAGAAAAGAAACGAAATCACACATGCGAAATATGTGGCAAGTCGTTTTTTACCAACTATCATCTTGAAAAGCATAAGCTTCAACATCTCGACAAATCCGAACGATTGGTGGAAGGAACGAAGTGTCAACATTGTGGTGAGTGGATTGCCACCAAAAGCGGAGTGTTTTATCACCAGCAAATTCACACGAGTGGACCACAAAAATGTGAACATTGCCAATTGGAATTTCCGAATCGAGTTTCTTTATTGGGACACATTCGGAGATATCACCGTGAAAACAAGTTCAAATGCAACTACTGTGACAAAGCATTCACGACCGCCTCATTATTGAGGGTAATTTAATCGCATTAAATCAAAATCAAAAGATCAATCTTTATCTATTTTCCAATATTTTTAGGCACACGAAGAATCGCATACTAGACATAGGGTATATCCGTGTCTCTACTGTGACAAAACGTTTTCATTGAGAATTTCTCTGTCTTCACATATGGGCCGATATCATCCGGAACAAAGGAAACTGTTGAAAGAAATGAGGAAAATGAAGAGATTTCCGGCAGCAAATAAAGACCAATAATTGGTTATGTATACCAAGTTGGGATAAAATAAGATCACTTCTGTAAATTAAAAATTGAAATTTAATCATAATTCATTGAAAACGAAAGAATGAATAAAAACCCAAATTATTTGCTGAAAATTCTACAAGTTTTTATAAAACTGGTCTTTGATAGTAGTCACAGGAGGTAATACCAAACAAAGCATCTGACAACACTATTGCACTTTGACATTTAAAGTGTCAAGTAAACATTCAAAAACAAAAGTTGTCGATCTAAACAAATGTCAAGGAACTAATCTGAATTTATCTTTCGAAAATTATAATTAAATGTTTCGATTGTTCAAGAAATAAGAAAACGATAATTCAAAATGAATCGTGAGCAATGTTGCCGTTTGTGTATGTCCCCAAACACTGACGAACACCTGAACATATTCAGTGACATCGGAATCGAAATGAAGCTGGGCGAAATCATTGGCGAACATTTCAAGTGCGAGGTAAACAAATTGATTTACGTTCATTGTTAGGATTAAGTTTCACGGACAAAAATCATGTGTGATGAAATAGGTCAGTGAGCTGGATGCGTTACCGAATCTCGTGTGTCAAACGTGCTGGCAAACCACAGATGCCTTCCATGAGCTGTATCAAAAGTCTAAAACAGTTCAAGAATCATTTCTAAATGCACCGATTAAAGTAGAACCGGCAGAGAGCGAACTGTGGAACAGCCATCAGGAAACCAACTTTGTCGAAGAAGTACAATTGGAGGTTGGCCCGATCAAACCAGAACTGAACTTAGGTATGTACAAAAGCAATGCAAAAATGACTAGGGTAAAATAGAGTTGTTTTTTTTTTAAATCTTATTTTCAATGTTACAGAGGATTCACTTTCGAATGATAATGATCAAATGGACTATGTTGGAAGCACATTTGACTCGGATGACCAAAGCGACGATGAGGATAACGGAAATATAACCGATAAATATGATCCAGACTACAAGTACAGTGAAGATCAAGAGACCAAATTGTCACCAAATGATCTACCATCAACTGATTTATCACTAAAAAAGTTGCCGCTAAGCAAGACGCCACGTAAGTAATGAAAATGATTTATTTTGAATGTTTAAATTTAATAATTTAAACGAGTGTGAAATATTTGTAGCAAAGAAGCCGAAAAAGACCAGAAAAGCTATGAGGCGAGATAAAGCGGAGAGAGATAGGAAATTTGACGAATTTTTATCCGAGCACAAACATCGACTTAAAATGGATTGTGACCTTTGCCCGACAGTATTCAAAAATCTGCAAGAAGCTCGAAAACATTATGCCAAAAAGCACAATAATCCAAATGGTTACATCAAATGTTGTGCAGCCAAGTTATTCTATCCCAGTAATGTGATGGACCACATAAAAAACCACATCGAACCAAAAACACCGAAGCCAAGAATTCGTCGTATAAAAAACATGTCATGTAGCATTTGTTTGAAAGCATTCACCTCGAAACGAAGTCTATCATTTCATATGAATGTGCACGAAGAGAACGATGAAGCGGAAGATGTGGAATATTTGAAATTCATTGCCGAACACTTTGATATGAAGTGTGATTTTTGTGAAACCGTTTTTCGTGGATTTTATGAGGCGCGTGAGCACTATAAAGAAGCTCATAACGAAAATAGGGGTTATATAAAGTGGGTTAAATGGTATTTTTTAAAATTCTGCTTCGTCTGATTCATTGATTTACATTCATTTTTAGGTGTTGTAATACAAAGCTAAGAGCAAGATATACTGTGAGAGATCACATCAAAAGTCATCTAGAACCCGAAGTTTTCAAGTAATTCTTTCAATTCAACCATATTTTGTCGCTGTATTGAATGAATGGAAATACAAATGTTTGGCTCTCTATTTTGTTCCAGATGTGATATATGCGTCAAAAGTTTTACGACACAAATGAAGTTGGCCAAACATAAGCATCGACATTATTTGACCAAGAGCAGATCCTTTGTATGCGATTACTGCAAAAAGCCCTGTCGAGATAAAGATCAATTAAAGAAGCACATGTTCGCCAAACATGTATTCACTGAGAAGAAATTCGAATGTAAAATTTGTCATAAGAAGTACGCGTATTTATTTTATTACCTATCAAAGAAATGCCCTTTTTTATGAATAATTGTTTTTTATCATGTAATCAGGTTCCAAATACCGATATTGTTGAAAAATCATATATATGCGGTACATCGGGAGAAGAAATGCGTTGGCACATGCGAAATATGCGGAAAGAGTTTTTATACAAACTATCATCTTGAAAAGCATAAGCTTCAACACATCGATAAATCCGAACGATTGTTCGAAAGGAGACAGTGTGAAATTTGTGGCGAATGGATTGCAACAAAAAGTGGAGTATTTTATCATAAGCAGATTCACACAAGTGGACCGCAAAAATGTGAACATTGTCAATTAGAACTTCCGAATAGACCTTCTTATTTGACACACATTCGACATTACCATCGTGAGCACAAGTACAAATGTAGCTTCTGTGGTAAAACATTCCCAATCACCTCAACATTGAAGGTACTTTCATCAAATTTAACATTTTAATGATCAAGCAATGTCATCGATTACTTTCTATTTACAGAAACATGAAGAAAGCCACACAAGACACCGGGTATTTATTTCCACCATCTAATCTCAGACTGAATTCATTTTACAATTTCCATCTTATATATAGGTTTATTCCTGCAAATTTTGTGATAAAACATTTTCGGTGTCAACTTCACTTTCTACACACATGGGCCGTGATCATCCACAAGAGAGAGAACGTTTAAGAGAAATGAGAAAATTAAAGGGAATTCCTACAGAAAGCAAAGACAAATAATGGTTTTGCACTGTTTTTCCTTGAGAAAAGCTGAATAATTTTTTATTCTTACATAAATTCAATGTTTAAGGCTTAATTATATTAATCTAAGAAAGAATGAAAAACAACTTTAATTAAGATTGAATATACGCCAGTTTTTTTTATACATCTGATGAATCCGGTCATCGATAGTATCTACAGAAGGTAATACCAAACAAAACATCTGACAGCACTATTGCACTTTGACAATTGAAATGTCAAGCAAACATTCAAAAACAAATGTTGTCGATGTAAACAAAAGCCAAAGGACTAATCTAAATTTTCTAAAAGTTATAATAAAAAGTTTCGATTGTTCAAGATATAAGAAAACGATAATTCAAAATGAATCGTGAGCAATGTTGCCGTTTGTGTATGTCCGCAAACACCGACGAACACCTGAACATATTCAGTGACATTGGTATTGAAATGAAGCTATGCGAAATCATCAGTAAATATTTCGACTGCGAGGTAAACAAAATGATTTACGTTTATTGTCAGGATTAAGTTTCATGACCAAAAATCGTGTTTCATAAAATAGATTAGTGAGCTGGATCCATTACCTAATCTCGTATGCCAAAAGTGCTGGCAAACCACCGATGCTTTCCATGAACTGTATCAAAAGTCGAAAACAGTTCAAGAATCACTTCTAAATCCACCCATAAAATTTGAACCGGGTGAGAGTGAACTGTGGCAAAGCCATCAGGAATCCATTTTTGTCGAAGAAGCACATTTGGAGGTTGGCCCGGTCAAACCAGAACCGAACTTGGGTATGTACAAAAGCAATGCAAGGGTAAAATAGAGTTGTTTTTTTTTTTAATCTTATTTTCAATGTTACAGAGGATTCAATTTCGAATGATAATGATCAAATGGACTATGTTGGAAGCACATTTGACTCAGATGACCAAAGCGACGATGAGAATAACGGAAATATAACCGATAAAAATGATTCGGACTATAAGTGCAGTGTAGATAGAGAAGCCAAGTTGCCACCAAATGATCTACCATCAACTGATTTACCGCCAAAAAATTTGCCGGCAAATAAGACGCCACGTAAGTAATGAAAATGATTTATTTGGAATGTTGATTATAACGAGTGTGAATTATTTGCAGCGAAGGAACCGATAAAACCCAGAAAAGCTGTAAGGCAAACCAAAGCGAAAAAAAATAAAAAGTTTGATCAATTTTGTGCTGAACACAAGGATCTACTGAAAATGAACTGTGAATTGTGTCCGACAGTATTCAAAAATCTTCGTGAAGCCCGAGAACATTATCCCAAAAAGCACAATAATCCAAATGGTTACATCAAATGTTGCGCAGCCAAGTTATTTTATCCCAGCCAAGTGATGGACCATATAAAAAAACACTTCGAACCAAAAACACCAAAACCGAAAATTCCTAAAGAGACAAGCCTGTCATGCAAAATTTGTTCGAAATCATTTAACTCGAGACAAAGTCTATTATTACATAGGAAGGTGCACGTAGAGAACGATGAAGAGGAAGATGTCGACTATATAAATTTCATGGTCGAACACTTTGATATGAAGTGTGATTTCTGTGAAACCGTATTCCGTGGATATTATGAGGCGCGTGAGCACTATAAAGAAGTTCATAATGAAGATAAGGGATATATAAAGTGGGTCAAATGGCATTCTTCTCTATTCTGTAACATCTGATTCATTGATTTACATTCATTTTTAGGTGTTGTAACACGAAATTAAGAGAACGATGTTCTGTCAGAGACCATATCAAAAGTCATTTGGAACCAGAAGTTTTCAAGTAATTTCATTTCAATTCAACCATTTTTGCTGTTGCTTTAGCGAATGAATGGACATAAAAATGTTTGGCTCTCTATTTTATTCCAGGTGTGATATATGCGGTAAAACTTTTGCGACACGAATGAAGCTAGCCAAACATAAGCATCGACATTATTTGACCAAGAGCAGATCCTTTATCTGTGACTACTGTAACAAAGCGTGTCGTGATAAAGAACAAATGGTGCGACACATGTTCACCAAACATAAGTTCGTTGAGGCAAAACTTGAGTGTGAAATATGTTCTAAACGGTAGCGTATTTATCTCATTTCTTATCAAAGAAATTCCCTTTTTTATGAATATTTTTTTTTTTCGTTTGATGATGCAATTAGGTTCCAAATAGAGTCATTGTTGAAAATGCATATGTATGCGGCACATCGAGAGAAAAAAATCGTTGGCACATGCGAAATATGCGGCAAGAGTTTTTATAGAAATTTTTCTCTTGAAAAGCATAAGCTTCAACACATCGATAAATCCGAACGATTGATCGAAAGAACCCAGTGTGCGCACTGTGGCGAGTGGATAGCGACCAAAAGTGGTGAGTTTTATCATAAGCAAATTCACACGAGTGGACCACAGACATGTGAACATTGCAAGTTGGTGCTTCCGAATAAAGTTGCTTTATTGGGACACATTCGGAAATATCACCGTGAACACAAACACAAATGCAAATTCTGTGACAAAACATTCCAGAATGGCTGGAAATTGAAGGTACTTTTATCGAATTGATCATTTTAACGATGAAGCGATGACATTAATCATGTTTTATTTGCAGATTCACGAAGAAAGCCACACAAGAGAGAATTTGTATCCGTGTCAATTTTGTTCAAAAGTGTTCACAGTGTACGGTTCCCGACGCACACATCAGAGCCGAGATCATCCACAGGAGCTCAAACAATTAAGTGAAGCAAGAAAATTACAAAGAGATCCTACAGCCAATGTACAACAAAAATCAATTCAAAATACACAGAAAATGTAATAGATTATTTCTTAAAATTAAACGCAGAGTATTTAGCCAATAATTGGACAGAATAATTTTGAATAAAAACTTGTATTTCATTCGCAAATAATTTGTTGGAGTTTCAATTGAACCGGTGGTAATATCAACAGAAGGTTTGGTAATACCAAACAAAGCATCTGACAACACTATTGCATTGACAGTCAAATTGTCAACTGAGTTCAAAACCAAAAGTTGTCGATCTAAACAAATCTTAAGAAACCAATACAAATTTCTTTTCTAAAAGTTATAAATAAATATTTTTATTGCTTTAGTTATGAGCAAACGATAATCCAGAATGAATCGTGAGCAATGTTGCCGTTTGTGTATGTCCGCAAACACCGACGAACACCTGAACATATTCAGTGACATTGGTATTGAAATGAAGCTATGCGAAATCATCAGTAAATATTTCGACTGCGAGGTAAACAAAATGATTTACGTTTATTGTCAGGATTAAGTTTCATGACCAAAAATCGTGTTTCATAAAATAGATTAGTGAGGTGGATCCATTACCTAATCTCGTATGCCAAAAGTGCTGGCAAACCACAGATGCTTTCCATGAACTGTATCAAAAGTCGAAAATAGTTCAAGAATCACTTCTAAATCCACCCATAAAATTTGAACCGGGTGAGAGTGAACTGTGGCAAAGCCATCAGGAATCCATTTTTGTCGAAGAAGCACATTTGGAGGTTGGCCCGGTCAAACCAGAACTGAACTTGGGTATGTACAAAAGCAATACAAGGGTAAAATGGAGTTGTTTTTTTTTAAATCTTATTTTCAATGTTATAGACGATTCAATTTCGAATGATAATGATCAAATGGACTATGGCGGAAGCACATTTGACTCAGATGACCAAAGCGATGATGAGGATAACGGAAATATAACCGATAAAAATGATCCAGACTACAAGTGCAGTGAAGATGAAGAGGCCAAGTTGCCACTAAATGATTTACCATCAACTGATTTATCACCAAAAAAGTTACCGCTAAGTAAGACGCCACGTAAGTAATGAAAATGACTTAATTTGAATGTTGATTATACGAGTGTGAAATATTTGTAGCAAAGAAGCCAAAAAGAATCAGAAAACCTGTGAAGCAAACCAGAGCGGAGAAAAATAGAAAGTTTGATCAATTTTGTGCTGAACACAAGGATCTACTGAAAATGAACTGTGATTTGTGCCCGACAGTATTCAAAAATCTTCGTGAAGCCCGAGAACACTATGCCAAAAAGCACAATAATCCAAATGGGTACATAAAATGTTGTGCAGCCAAATTACTTTATCAAAGTCAAGTTAGGGACCATATAAAAAATCACTTCGAACCAAAAACACCAAAACCGAAAACTCGACGAAAGAAAAACCTGGCGTGCAAGATTTGTTCGAAATCATTTACCTCGAAACAAAGTCTATTATTACATAGGAGGGCGCACAAAGAGAACGATGAAAGCAAAGATGGGCTGTATTTGAAATTCATAGCCGATCACTTCGATATGAAATGTGATTTCTGTGAAACCGTGTTTCGTGGATATTATGAAGCGCGTGAGCACTATAAAGAAGCTCATAATGAAGATAAGGGATACATAAAGTAGGTTGAATGGCATATTTTTCTATTCTGTATCATATCTGATTTATAATTCGATACATATTGATTTTCAGGTGTTGTAACGTAAAGTTAAGAGAACGGTATCTTGTCAAAGACCATATCAAAAGTCATTTAGAACCCGAAGTTTTCAAGTAATTCAATTCAACCATTTTTTGGTTGCTATAGCGAATGAATGGAAATAAAATATGTTTGGCTCTTTATTTTATTCTAGGTGTGATATATGCCGTAAAACTTTTGCGACACGAATGAATCTGGTCAAACATAAGCATCGACATTATTTGACTAAGAGTAAATCCTTCATTTGTGACTACTGCAAAAGAGCTTGCCGAGATAAAGAACAAATGGTGCGACACATGTTCACCAAACATAAGTTCGTTGAGGCGAAATTCGAGTGCAAAATTTGCCATAAAATGTAAATCATTTATATAATAGAAAATTCATTTGAAATATACTCATATGATTATGCAATTAGGTTCCAAATAGAGTCATTGTTGAAGACTCACATGTATACGGTACATCGGGAGAAGAAAAGCATTGGCACATGTGAAATATGCGGAAAAAGTTTCAATACAATCTATCTTCTTGACAAGCATAAGCTTCAACACATCGATAAATCCGAACGATTGATTGAAAGGACCCAGTGTGAACATTGTGGTGATTGGATTGCCACCAGCAGCGGATTGTTTTATCATCAACAGATTCACACAAGTGGACCACAAAAATGTAAACATTGTGAAATGGAACTTCCAAACCGAGTTGCTTTATTGGGACATATTCGAAATCATCACCGTGAGCACAAGTACAAATGCAACTACTGTGGTAAAACATTCTCAATCCCTTCAACATTGAAGGTACTTTCATCAATTCATCATTTTACTCTTTAATTATTAAGGGATGTCATCAATTTTTTTCTATTCACAGAAACACGAGGAAAGCCACACAAGAGACAGAGTTTATTCCTGCAAATTTTGTGATAAAACATTTACAGTGGCATCTTCTCTGTCTACACACATGGGCCGTGATCATCCAGAAGAGAGGAAACGTTTAAGAGAAATGAGGAAATTAAAAAGAATTCCTGCACATAGCAAAGCCGACTAATGATTTTGTACTGTTTTTAAGAAGTGCTCGATTTAAAAAAAAATCCATAAACGAATAAAGACCAATGATAATTTTAAAATGAATAAAACCTTACAATACAAACCAAATAAAATTCTTTAGTTGATAATGAAATTAACACAGTAAGTTGATTTAGAGATATAGCATGGGTATTGGTTTTTTGTATTACTTTAACAAAACAAAAAAACAAGTAAAATAAGTGAGATTGGGGAAAATTCAAACTTGTTTGTTCGTTGAGCAGAAATACATTTATATGAGAGGAATGTTTTTAATCTCACGTTCTATATCTTATACCCGACACAATTCATTGTTCAAAGCAATTTACATTGATATCATCGGGTTTTTGACATCTGAAGCGAAATTGCCCAGAAGTGTTCGCACATTCAAGTGAAATGGAAAAAGTAGATGAAATTCAGGCATAAATAGTATTCAAGGTCATCGAGATTATTTCGTTTTTCCCCTTCGAATGTACGTCAAATGATAAATAATTATGGTAATCATAATAATGAGTCGTGGATATGATAAAAAAAGAAGAAAAAAAAACAAATAGTTCTCTCTTATCAGATCTGTCTTTTTTCTGTTACTTTTCATACATACATCTATAAAAAGCGTGTCGTGGCTAACAAATCATTCAGTGCCATACAACAAGTGCGACGCAAATCTTCGGTAATTTCAAGAATATTTTTTGAGAATTGGAATTTTCTTTTTGGATTTTATTAAAAACATATTTCTTTTAGGGAATCACAAAATGAAAGGGATAGCGATTAAAAAACCTTACTGGACAAGGGGCGTTAGCGGCATGGCGTGTGTAGAAAGTGTTATTTTTTTAATCGTAATGACGTTTTTGATCACGAGCAGCGAGGCTGTAAATGTTGCATTGTCTTATGCTTACGAGCCGAATGTCACAGCTCTGTCCAAATTCGATTGGGCCGTTGTTGACGGGGATGCCAACTTTGAACCACCAAAAGGCGGCAATTCTGCAAATCGCACAGTTTGGCTATCATACGTGAGCGTGGGTGAAGTGCAATCCCACCGTCCGTTTTTCAAGCAAATGCCACGCAGCTGGTTGATTGGCAAAAATGATGCATGGGAATCGTATGTTATCAATCAAACGGCACCCGGATGGACATCGTTTTTTGTCGAAAAAGTAGCTACACCGTTTTGGAACCGTGGATTCAAAGGATTCTTTCTCGACACGTTGGACTCGTATCAAATTGTGGCCAAGACGGAGGCACAACGCCAGGCACAAGAAAATGGACTTGCCCAAACAATTCTTGCATTGAAGCACCAATTTCCAAATGCAATCCTGATTATGAATCGTGGCTTTGAGATTATGTCTCGAGTGCATCAGGCCGCAAATATGGTGGCATTCGAATCACTTTACGCCGGATGGAATCAAGCAAAACAAAAGTATATGCCAGTAAGTGAAAACGATCGAAATTGGCTATTGGCTCAGGTGCAAGGAATTAAAACACAATATAATCTGCCAATATTGGCGATTGACTATTGCCCACCAAAGAACATGACGTGCGTCCGAACAACTGTCAATCGCATAATCCAACAAGGAATTGTGCCCTATGTAACTGATCCACAGCTGCAGACCGTTGGTTACGGTCCACAAAACCTGAATCAAACTCATTAATCTAAAACTTGAACGTTGTTCAAGCGATTCTCCAGCATTTTTAAATGAAATTTATGAAATAAAGTAAATGATATGCGAAGAACTGTTTTTTTTTTAATTTGAAAAAGGATAGAATACGATTCTATTCATCGAATCTGATGACTAAATCCATTTATTCTAACATTTTTTTTATGTATTATCGTTTTATTTCTCGATCCTCAAAGATAAATGTAACTGTATTTCCAAACAAACACCAAATAAAACATCTGACAACACTATGATTGACATTTGAATTGTCATGAAGTCAACAATTGAATCAGTCATCAATGAAAACACAATACCATCGTTCAAATGTTTTGAAATAGAATTAAGAAGAAACAAGAATTCAACAAGATGTCTGAGGAAACGTGTCGGTTGTGTATGTCCACAACCAGCGATAATCACCTGAACATCTTCAGTGATATTGGAATGGAGATGAAATTGGGCGAAATCATTGGTGAACATTTCCAGTGTGAGGTAAACAAACCATTTCCATTCAATGTAAAAATACATTTTATGCTCCAAATATCACAACCTATAATTCAACCAGGTCAGTGAGCTCGATACATTGCCGAATTCAGTGTGTCAATTGTGTTGGCAAACTACTGAAGCCTTCCATGAGTTATACGAACGATCAAAAATGGTACAGAAAAAATTCATTTGCTCAACTATAAAAGTTGAAGCTGATGCGAATGAGCTGTGGCAAACCCACACGGAAACTCATTTCATTGAGGAATCACATGTAGAGCTTTGCGCAATCAAAATTGAACCGAAACAAGGTAAATATTATGCTAGAATTTAATTAACTTAATACATAATCCGCAAAGTAGATTTGTTTTGATGTTTCAATAAAGATGAAGAGTCAGACACAAATGACAATCGTCAAATGGAATATGATGGAAATTCGAGCAATTCAGATGGAAACAGCGAAGAAAAAAATGCAAATGAGGTGACTAAAGACGATCCAAAATATGGATCAAATGAAGAATCATCGATTTGTAAGTTATTAACATCTGTAGATTATCAACTCATGCGTGTTTTTCGAGCATCGAGTATAATGAATGGAGTATTTGTAGCTAGGAGAAAACGTCGTCGAACTACACCAAAGAGAATTTCAATGCAATTTGATAAGTTATTCCTTGAATACAAGCATCTATTTGACTTGACTTGTGATTCATGCCCGACGACATTCGAAACGTTGGACGAAGCCCGAAAACATTATCGCGCTGAGCATAACATTCCAAAAGGATATATCAAATGCTGTTCAAATAAGTTAAAATATCCAAGTAAGGTCTTAGAACATCTACAGAGACATATATATCCCGATAAATTCAAGTGAGTGCTGATGAAAATACAAGTTTTTTAAACGCTAAGATAGTTAATGCTTCATTTTTTTTTTGTCTGAACAAATATTTCAGGTGCACGGAGTGTTCTAAGGTGTATTTTTCCAAACGTGAACTCGAAAAACACATGAAAAAACACACTGAAGTGCCGACGTCACCGAAAAAAACGGCGCAGTGTAACATTTGTAAGAAAATGTTCAGCACGAAAACGGTAATGGAACGGCATAAACTGAAACGGCACAGCGTTCAGGATGACTCGGAACATGAACAGTATACGAAATTCATTGCGGAAAATTTTGATATGAAATGTGACCGTTGCGATACGATATTCGGTGCATTTTATGATGCCCGTCAACACTACAAAGATGCCCATAATGAGGATAATGGCTATATCAAATGTTGCTCAATGAAATTAAACAAAATGCCATTGGTCAAAGATCATATCAAAAGTCATTTGGATCCAGAAAGTTTGAAGTAAGTTTTCGGTCAATCTCAATCAATCGACTTTTAAACAAATTCGGTCAATCAATCATTCTGTATTTTAGATGTGATTTATGTAATAAAATTCTCCGATCTCGAATTGCACTCACACAACATAAACGTCAGCATAAGCAAACCGAGGAAAAGCCGTTCACATGTGATTATTGTGCGAAGCCATTTAGCACCAAAACGTTAATCTTACGTCATATACTATCGAATCATTCAACCATAGAACCGAAGTTTGAGTGTGAAATATGTTCTAAAAAGTATGTCATTCACAGAAAAAAAACATTTTGAAATTACAGTTTCTATACTTGTTTTTCTTCTTTTTTTCATTCATTCAGATTCCAATTGGCGCCATTGCTGCGTCAACACATATATATAGTGCATCGAGAGAAAAAGCCGGTGGTTACGTGTGAGATATGCGGCAAGACATTTTATACGAAATTCCATTTGGACAAACATAAACTGCAGCACATGGATAAATCGGTGAGGCTGGCGCAAAGGCAACAGTGTGAACATTGCAATGAATGGCTCATGAGCAAAAGTGGCATCTACTATCATGAACAAATCCATAAAAATGAACCACAAAAATGCCCACACTGCCAATTAGACCATCCGAATAAAATGTCTCTACAAGCACACATTCGACAATATCACAGAGAACTGAAGTATAAATGTAGCTATTGTGATAAAGCATTCCCAATCGCATCAAATTTGAAGGTAGCTTCACACAACTTGTCTATGAGAAACACAGCATTTATTCGTATTTTTTTCCCCCATCGTTTCAGAAACATGAAGAATCGCACACTAGACCAAATAAATATCCATGCCAATTCTGTACCAAGGTGTTTACATTACACATGTCTCGGCGAACGCATCAATCACGCGATCATCCACAAGAGCTCAAACAAGACAGAGAAATGAAAAAACTCATGCGAAATGCAGACAAATAAAACTTAACCAAAAACAAAACAAAAAGTGTTTTTCATTTCCGTTATTTTAAATCATAATTGGAGGCAGAGCCATTGTTTGTTGTTTCAATTAAAGGAAGGGGATACAGTTCGAAATATCTATGTACTTACTATTGATAAGTGCAACCGTATGTAAACACCGAATTACAGTCAGACAAAAGAAAATCTGACAACACCATTGGACTTGACATTTGAATTGTCAAGTAAATATTGGCATTTTTTGTACATCATAAACAAACAATACGACCGATTTAGCTTTAGCATTTGAACTTTTTTCAAATTTTGTATATTATTTATGATTGGAAACACGCACAAATCAGCATGATGAGTGACAAATGCTGCCGTTTGTGTATGTCCACAAGCAGCAGCATCGATTATTTGGACATTTTTAGCAGGATCGGTGTCGAGATGAAAATGGGCGAAATTATTAGTGAACATTTCAAATTTGAGGTAAACAAATGATTCAACTATTCATTTTTCGATAAACATTTTACTTTTCTTTACATGCAGGTCAGTGAGCTCGATACAATGCCGAGTTTAGTGTGCCAAATGTGTTGGCAAACGACCGAAGCCTTTCACGAACTATATGAAAAATCCAAAAGTGTTCAAGAGAAATTCCAAAATCCACTGATACAAGTTGAAACGGATGCGAGCGAAATGCTGCAAAGCAATAAGGAAACGCATTTTATTGAAGAGTCACATGTTGAATTCGGTCCTATTAAAATTGAACCGGATCTAGGTAAAATTGTTGCTAAAGTGGTTGATAACTTTGATTTTAAAATTAAGAATTAGTATGTGATTTACCATTTCAAAATGCATAGATGACGAGTCAGACATAGATGATGGCCATCAAATGGATTATGATATAGACAATTCGAATGGTAGCGATGGTAAAAATGATGAAGAAAGCATACATGAGATCGCTAAAGATGATCCGGACTTTAGGGATAATAAAAAGCTACCAGAAAAATGTGGGTGATTGTAATTTAAGGCAATTTTGTGTGATTGGTTTTGATGGATGTATAGAAGTAAAGTAATAAGTAACTTATTACTTTAATTGTATTACTGTAATAAGTAATAAGTCCATCTTATTACAGCAATAAGATTGTAATAAGTATCTTATTACTTTTGGTGCAAAAAAAATTGCAGAAAAGTTTCATACAAAAATCATTTCAAATTTTGCAAGATACATTTTTTTCAACATTTTTTCGACTGGCAACATTTGACATGTTTTTTGTATGAGAGAAATTTTGCAAGACATATTTTTTTTCAACATTTTTTCATCTGACAAAAATTGACATGTTTTTTACATGAAACTTTTTTTGCGATTTTTTTTTTTTGCACCAAAAGTAATAAGATATTTATTACAATCTTATCACAGTTACAATCTTATTGCTGTAATAGAGTTATTACTCATTACAATCTTATTACAATCATCTTATTACAATCTTATTACTTATAATAAGTAATAGGTCATCTTATTAAAGTAATAAGTAGGTAATAAAGTAATAAGAATTACATTTTTTTACTTCTATAGATGGATGTGATTTATTTGCAGTAAAGGGAAGACGGCAACAATCTTCAACAAAGTATAAAAATATGGAAGCAAAATTTGCGAAATTATTCAAAGAGAATGAGCATCTGTTTGATATGACCTGTGATCTATGTGCGACAACGTTCAAAACGCTCGATGAAGCCCGCACACATTATGCCAAAGAGCACCAAAATATGAAAGGCTATATTAAATGTTGTTCCACTAAGCTTATATATCGTTGCCATGTGATCAATCATCTACAGAAACACTTGGAGTCAAAAAGTTTTAAGTGAGTGTTTTTAAGGTAACCTTCACCTTTAGAGGAAATATATTCTGTTAAAATTTCCAACTTGGTATGATAAAGTCAGTGTCGTTATTGAAAAAAAAAAAATATTTTTTCATCAAATTCCAGGTGCACGGAATGTCCCAAAGTCTATTGGACCAAAAGTGAGCTGGAAAAGCACATCGAACGACATTCACAGCCGAAAATACCAGTCCATCGAGAGAAGACGATTCCATGCAACGTTTGTACGAAAATGTTCAGCACGAAAGCGCTAATGGAACGGCATAAACTGAAACAGCATGAACGCCGAGACGAATCAGAAGCGAAATTTATTTTCGAAAACTTTGACATGAAGTGTGATTATTGTGATTCCATTTTTGGTGGATTCCATGATGCGCGACATCACTACAAAAGATTCCACAATGATGATAAGGGCTATTTGAAGTGCGTCAGAGTGTTTAACTTGAACATTTATTCGATCTGGTGGTTTAATCATATTTAATCGATTCGTATTCTGAAATTCACAAATTTTCAGGTGTTGCAACATTAAATTGCGAGAATTATGGATGGTCAGAGACCATGTCAAATCTCACTTAGATCCCGAATGTTTCAAGTAATTTCCGAACAATCAATCAATTTTTATTTTACCTACGAATAAATTTGTATTCGATCTATTCCAGATGTGATGTATGTAGCAAGAATTTTTCGACAAGAATTATGTTGGGCCAGCACAAACGGCATCATCGAATGACGATGCAAAAATCGTTTATATGCGATTTTTGTGGAAAATCATGCAGGGATAAGTTTTCAATTACACGTCATCTGTTTACAAACCATGTCAATTCGGAGCCCAAATTTGAATGCATTACCTGTCATAAAAAGTAAGGCAAAGGCTATTCTCGATTTTCCTCGGTCGTTTACCATATTTTTTCAATGGGATGTTTCACTAGAGAATTTGTTACTTTTTAGGTTCCAATTGAAAGTACTACTGAAAAGCCACACGTATTCGGTGCATCGAGAGAAAAAACACAACGTCACTTGTGAGATATGCGGAAAAGGGTTTTATGTAAAATTCCATCTTGATAAGCATATGCTGTCGCATAAGGACAAATCTGAGCGTTTGGCCCAACGAAAACAGTGCGAACACTGTGGCGAGTGGTTGATGACAAAAAGTGGAGTGTTTTATCATAAGCAGATTCATACAACTGGCACACAGAAATGTCCACACTGCCAAATCGAGGTTGCAAACAAATTGGCTTTATTAGGACATATTCGACAACATCATCGAGAACACAAATTCAAGTGTAGCTACTGTGATAAAACTTTTTCCACCTCGTCAGCGATGAAGGTAAGGGGTTTTGAACGAGATTTTCATTTTGAAAATTTAATCGATTTAATCATGTTTGATTTTTTTTTTCGATAGACGCATGAGGAGTCACATACAAGGCACAAAGTTTATAACTGCGCTTATTGCCCAAGAACATTTTCCATTCCAAGCTCAAGGCGAACACATACAAGACGACATCATCAGGATCAAAAAATGATTGATAAAAATAATAAAAACAATCTAGTACAATAAGCCATGTTTCTCGTCCAATTCGATGATAATTTCATTGTTTGTTCGAATAAAGTGACTTTTTTCCAAAATCGGAATTTTTGAAACATTCACTGTAATTTATTTTATTTTATTTTATTTGAAAAAAAAAAATGATGGAATTTATTGAACGAAATAAATTTATATAAAAGAATTTCTACTCTTAAAGAAAGAAAAGAATGTATGATAGTGTTCTGCATTTCTTTATAACAACATACTAAGGGAATATTTATCATGAAACTAGAATCCAATGCAAATGGTCCATTTTCAGCAGAATTTCGTTCGAAATTAAAAAAATTGCATCCGTTTATAAAAAAAAATCTTTATCAAATTTTTTACCAAAAAACCAACAACAATAGTTGGATATCCTTTCAATTCACCCATTCAAATGGTATGCATCGGACAATACCATCAAATTGCTGACACTTTGTCTGTCAAATACAGGCAAAATATTATTTATATGTTTTGTGAATTTGTCTTGAATGAATGTTTGTTTTGTTTGTTTTTTTGAATAAAAATAAAATAGTGATTTGTCCCATAGGTTAAGCGATCAAACAATGTTGGACAGTAATTCCTGTCGCCTGTGCTTTTCGACCAACAATGACCATCACATGAATATATTCAGTGTGATCGGTATTGAGATGAAAATGAGCGATATCATCAGCGAGCATTTCAAATGCGAAGTAAACAAACACTATTTCTTTACATTTATTCAACTCAATGTTCATAAACAATGTCATTTTGTTGCCTGTGTCTCCATAGATCAGCGAAGTAGATTCGTTGCCGAATTTTGTATGTCAATTATGTTGGCAAACAACTGAAGCCTTCCATGAACTTTATCAAAAGTCCAAAACTGTACAGGAGAAATTTCTCAATCCAATGATTAAAATTGAAGTAGATGCAACCGAACTATGGCATGAAAATTCCGAACGGGATATCGTCGGAGAATCTCAAATCGATGTGAATATAATCAAATTGGAGCCGAATATAGGTGAATTATCACTCATTAATTCGTTGATTTTCTTCTTGTGACTTCTGATTTTCTTTATATCAAAGAATACGCCGATGTACTTGATTCACAGGACAATTTCGACGATGTAGACGATTTAAGTGACCGAGACAATTTGAATGATGACATCAAAGATGATCAAATTTCAAATGGAATTGAAACTTCTACAGGTATGTGAAGATGCACAACAAAAATTAGACGAAGATTTTCAATAAGTTTCGTGTATTTTTTTTTATACAGACCGGCCGTCTAATAAGACTGTAAGTCGACGAATGAAGGCAAAGAATCGAAGAACCGTATTCAAGAAGTTATTTGTAGAGAACAAATATCGATTTGATATGACATGTGATAATTGCTCGGTGTCATTTGAATCATTGAACGATGCTCGCACTCATTATGCTAACGAACACAACAACACAAAGGGATATATCAAATGTTGTAACGCGAAATTAACATATCGCTGTGAAGTTTTGAAACATTTATACCGACATCTGGAGCCTAATAAGTTTAAGTGAGTTTTAGAATTGTTATTTATTTTTTGCGCTTCTACAGATTTGGTGCAATTTTGTGGCAAATTTTCATGGATTTTGATCCATTTTCTAGATGCAACGAATGCGGCAAAGTGTATCAAGCTATGCACGGACTCAAAGGACATATGAAACAACACCATACAGAAAACATTGAAAAAGAGTGTTTCATTTGTGATATGTGCAAAAAAACGTTCACTTCCAAAGTCGGCCTTAAACGACATTTACAATGGCATTCCGAAACGACGAAAACAGATGATGACCAATACAAAAGATTTATTGCTGAAAATTTCGACATGTCCTGTGATCATTGTGACGTCGTTTTTACTACATTCCACGATGCACGACGACACTACAAAGAGATGCATGATGATAAAAAGGGTTATATCAAGTACGTTCCATTTGAGCTTCATTTGTTGACAAAAAAAAATTTGAATATCGGAAGAAATTAATTGATGCGATCATTATTTTTTTAGGTGTTGCAACATTAAACTAAGAGAACTGTGGATAGTAAATGATCATATCAACTCGCACCTCAATCCAGCGAATTTTAAGTAAATTTTGTTCGAATATTTTTCTAAATAACAGATAAGCAGTGGAAGCGTTTCTATAAGTTAATCGTCACTTGTTTTGTTCAAGGTGTGATTTGTGCAATAAGAATTTTTCCAGCGGAATGCGATTGAATCAGCATAAGGGGAGACACAGGCGGGCAATTGAAAGACCTTTCGTATGTGATATATGTGCAAAATCATTTCGGGACAAGGAAACCATAACACGGCATCTCTTCACCACCCACGTTAATTCCGAACCGAAGTTTGAGTGTGAAATATGTTCTAAAAAGTATGCCATTCACAGAAAAAACATTTTAAAATTACAGTTTCAATACTGTTTTTCTTCTTTTTTTTTCATTCATTCAGATTCTAACTACATGCGTATTCATTTTAAATAATGTCATTTATATAATATGTAAATTCATTTGACACAGATACAGACTTCTTAAATTTTACTTCTTATACATACCGTCATACATACTATAGTTTCAATTAGAGCCAAAATTATAGCATTTAAAAAATGGCTCAGTTTTCTTTAGATAACAATTCAAAATTTTCAACACTTTTAAATCTTAAGAGCATTGAATTTAAAAAGAAGAAAAACGTCCAATTCCAAAAACAATTTCTCAAATTCGGAATAAGACAAAAATATCAATGAAGTACCTCAAATCACAATAATTGAATTAAGTTCAATGTCCTAATTTTCAGATTCCAATTGGCGGCTCTGCTAAAGAATCACTGTTACTCGGTGCATCGTGAGAAAAAAGCCATAGTGACGTGCGAGATTTGTGGAAAGTCGTTTAATGTAAAAGCCAACTTTGACAAGCACATGCTCTCGCACACGGATAAATCGGAGCGTTTGGCGCAACGAAAACAGTGCGAGCACTGTGGCGAATGGCTGGTATTTAAATTTCCATCTGTTAATAATATAGTAATTGCTCTTGCTAATAGAACTGGTAATGATAATAATAATAAAATTGTAGATGACCAAATCGGGTATCTACTATCACGAGCAAATTCATACCAGTGGCACACAAAAATGTGATCAATGCAACATGGAATTGCCGCATAAAATTGCGCTGTTGGCGCACATTCGGAAATATCATCGTGAACGTAACTTCAAATGTAGCTATTGTGATAAATCATTCCCAGTCAGTTCGGAATTGAAGGTAAACATGACTTACTCAAAATTGTTCTTCACTTCAATTATACTTCTATTCTCCTTAGAAACACGAGGAGGGACACACTAGACACAATGTATATGCCTGCGCTTGGTGTCCAAAAGTGTTCACCCTTCGTACATCACGACTAACACATCAGAAGCGGTCTCACCGTGAGGAGCTAAAACACTTGAGAGAAATGCGAAAATTGATGAAACACTCTGTAACGCCCATTGATTAATCGATATTCTGTTTTTGTTGTTTCTTCTGTGTAGCTTCAATTAAACCAAAAATTACTCAAAAAAAAAAAGAAAAAAGTTTTGATTTTGAAATTTTATTTATAAAAAAGAATCCTACGCAGGATATACAATCAAGGTATCAAAGGAGGAAAGAAAGTTAAATTATGCAATGATATATAAATAAATAGAGATGAAAAATGAGAGCATAAATACGGCGCTTGTGAAATAAAGTTGGGACGAAAAGAATAGTTGAGTGCTTTCGCCCTCTTTCACTGTTCAACTTCATTTGATGCTGTCTTTGCTGGCTGGAAGTTCAGTTTTTTCCAATTGTTCACTCTTTTCCACTTTTTCCATTACACTTGCAACTTTTTCAACACTTGCTTCAACCTTTTCAATGGACGGGACCGTTTTAATTTCAATTTCTGGAACAATTGCATCGGATTTGGCGGCCATCTTTGCCCTTTGTTCGGAATTGAATTTACTAAACTTAACAATGGCTTCTTCTAAGATATCGGCAGCATCTTTGCCCACAACTGGTTGAGACAATTCACGAAGGCCAGTCCGGACGAATGGAAGAGCGAATGAAATCGTGCACAATGGTGTGAATGTACAAAGGGCAGTGGTAATAGCACCACCACCAATGGTAACACCAAGCAATGTCATTAGAAAAGCAAATGAACGGCCCAACAACGAAGTTGTATCACGCATCGTTTCGGTCAGGCTGCTTGGAATGGCTTGCAATGAGCCAAAGAATGATGATGGATTACGGGCAACAACCTGCTTTTGTGGTAGTGGTGGACCGGGAACCAAGTAGCCTTCATAACCGGTTTGGACGTTGAATGCACCTGGATTGTACTGGTGTGGATTGAATGCAGCCGGATCGTAGGCCGTTGGATTGTAGCCACCATGAATGGCATGTCCAGAATATTGAGTTGGATAAACCGACAACGGATCAACCACCGTTGGCACCTCGTTTGTTGATTCAGCCTGATTTACATCATTTCCGTATTGCCCGGATACATACTGTTGAACTGGATCTTGAACCCCTTTGTATGCAATTTGTTGTGCAATTGGTTGTTGCTCAACTGTTTCCTGAAATATATAGAAAAGAAAACACGACACTTAGACCATAATTTGAATTGATTTTGAGTGATTTTTGTCGGAATTTAAGCAGCCACATTATAGTCAAAGTCAATTATCCATTTTGCAGGTGCTCATATGTTCTTAAATCACAAACACTTTACTCTTCTATATTTCTTGAAATTTTTTTTCGATTATTTTCTTTAATTTTTTTTTTTTGAAAACGTCTCTTTCACTTCAAACAACACTTACGGTATAGTACTGCGTTTGATCTGCATTGGATTGCTCCTGTTGATCGAAGGTGTCTTGTTGAATTGGAAAATTCGGTTGAACATATTGTTTTGGTTGCAGTCCATTGATAGCTGGTTGGGCTTGTCCCTTGACACCCGAATGGGCCAATTCGGCAACGATACTCTTGGCCAAAACAGCCGTCAAAGCGAATTTCAATGGGAAACGCATTTTCACAAAATTAAACTTTATTTTCAAACAAATTAGATAAACACGTGAGAAAACTGAGTAGTGTTTGAAAACAGTTGTACTGATGAATGCACTAAAGCGAATGATATCTGTTCAAATGCAACATACAATATTTATACAAACATCGTGCTATCCCCTCTAATCCAAACAAATTGTATTGCCCGTAGAAATGTACATTTTTTTCCGAAATAAAGATCATTAATGCATTAATAATTGAATTGGCCGAATGTTTGTGGCGTCAAAAGATCGACATTAGGCAGTGAAATAGTTGTTAAGCATCCAATATAATGAATTCATTTTTTCGGCACGCATTGCACATTCCTCGTGCTAATTTATGCAAAGCAAACCCAATTATCCGTTATGTCTAGATTGGCTAAGCATTGACATTGGTCGGGTGTACGGTGCAATTAATACGACAGGTAAAATTGAAAACGGTTGCATTTTCATACACCTAATTAAAATGCCATTAAACTGTTGTTTATCTGTTGATCATTTCAACGATTTTTATTGTGAACCCGGTAGAAATGTATTCATTTGAAAATGTGTTGAAAATATGGAAAATCAATGGAAATGCATATGATCCATTGGGAATGTAGCATTTTGATAATTTTGTTTTCATAAAAATAGACATTTCGAATCGAAAAATAGAAAAAAAGATTCAGAATTCCCACGATATTCGATATTGCAACGGATTTTTTTTTTCATTCATTCGTACGAATGACGTCACATTCATTGCGAACTGTCAAAGTATCGCATGGTGTGTGTTTTTCTTTCGAATCTGTCAAACAAACCAAAAATCGGTTTTCTGTGTGTTTTGGTTGAACGAATGATTGAACAAACAGCATGAGTGCACCGCCAAAAATTTCCAGCGATATTCTATTGCGTTCCATCGATAATTTGATAAATATTTGCGAAAATGCACCGTCCGATCTAAGTCGACATCGTGATAAATTGAATTCAATTCTGAATGATTTAAATTCGGTGGAATTTAAGTATGTGCAAACATTAGACATTTTTAAGGTGAGTCATACACACCATTAAAATCACATACACATCTTTCGATGTAAATCGAAGATTCGTTTGATTTTAATGATTTATTTGGATTTTTAGCGAACAGAGGATGTGGTACGAGTGTTAATATGCCTTCCATTGGTTGAGGATACGATAATTGTAAAATGTGCCCGGTTAATTGTACAGTTGTTGGACAAACATCCAACAAATATCACAGTTCATGTGTTTCGAAATGCAATTCGATACGCGATTAATTTCATAAATGAGCATAAATTCGTCGGCATTTGTGATGCATTACGTTTGATGCAGGCGCTGATAAAAAATCACTTAAAAAATGACAGTATTACGATTGCAGACGAATCAAAAGAATTGCATCAATGCACGGAGTTATTGATCAAATTGATAAACGATCCGGATGCCATGGAAAAGTCAACATCATGTCATTACGATGGATATTCAGTGATTGAAATTAAATCATCTGCCGTATTTTGTTTGGAGATCATTCTAACATTTTACGAAAAATTACCAGATATCGCACAAAACCTCGAGCCGGCCATAACACAAGCATTACTCAAGTTGATCTACTCGGTGCGATTGGATAATGTGTCCGAACGAATTTACTGTAATTTAGTGCGTGCTGCGTTGAACTCATGCCGATTCATTGGTTTTTCAAATCGAGAATGGTGCACTGAAAATATTGGTGATATTTTAGGTGCATGCGTATCAAATATGCTATTCGGTTTACCCGATTGTGTCTATCAACCGCCACAACGAATTCAGTCGTCACAACAAACCATACAGGATACTCATAATACTAGTGCTGGTGCGAAAAAAGGTGGAAAAATGATTAAGAGTCGCAAACCACGGCAGACATCACAGTATAAAAATCGAAAATCAGCCAAATCGAATGAGGCAAAAAACGGGAAATCGGGCGAAATTGATGAATCGAATGAGCATTTTGAGCAAGCCACTTTGTTTGATAATCCAAGTGAAAAATTCGAAATTGGCAATTTCACAACTAGCGATTCGGACGCTTCAGATCCAGAAATATCGAAAACCGGCAATAATAATCGAGAAAAAGAAGCGAAGCTTCGATTGGCCGCCATTTCATTGATTGCCATTGTTGCCAAGGTTTGCATTTTCTTGTCTAGAATTGTTTCTCGTACAGACATTCTATTAATTTTCAATTTCTTATTTAAAAAAATTACCTTTTTTCTCTTTTACTAGAATGTGGAGCGAAAGATATTCTTTGGTTATTGGCATTGTTTGTTCCCAACCGAAGAGCTGATCCCATCAATGCCTGCACTGTTGAATTGCGTCCTGCGTGATTCGAATCAGCGCTGCCGAATTACAGCTCTACAAGCTACTTCAATTATCCTCTACGGAACCAAGTCCTTCCTTGTTCAAGCCGAATCTACCGATAAGCCGCCAATCAATTTTATGCCGTTTTCTATTTCACTAGGAAATCAAATCTGTATTCTATACATTACCTTAACTCAGGCCCTTAGTAACGAAAGTTCGTTGCCAGTGTTGATACAAATTCTTAGGTGCTTTGCCACTTTGGTGCAAGCAACATCATTTCAAAAGCTACAGAAACCACCAGGATTAATCCGAAAATTCGTTGAACTCATTCGACGTTTGGTTCATCACAAAGATCCAACCATCAAAGTTGCCGCTCTTATTGTTATGGAGTTTCTCATCGCTCGGCCGGAAATCACCAATGAAATATCCGACTGTGTCGGCGTATCACGGTTAGAAGCCAAACGCAATTGTCGAGTTCACGATTTTGGAGAGGATGAAGTGTAAGCATGCAATTTTTTTAATAAAATCTATTGATTTCCATGATTTTTTGGATATTTTTTATATCAATATCATGGTTTTCAACATTCATTCATTGATCTAACGTAGATTCCAATAAAAAAAAATCCGTTTCAGAATCGATGCCGATGAAAATCTAGTTGAATCCGAGTACGAAGATGAAGATGAAATCGATGAAGTACAAAAGACCGAGCCGGCAACAAAGATCTCATGGTTGCTGCAAATTGCGCTGGAAAGTTTGGGTGTTACAGTCAGTTCTTATATCGTGAGTTGTATTTTTAATATGGCTACAAATTGTCCATAGTTTGTCTCATTTGCCGATTTTAATGTATTTTTCTTTCATTCTAGCGACCGAGTCGATCGGCACCTTCAGTCCAAGTCCGACATCAAAGTTTGCAAATCATTTTAATGATGGCACCGCATTACATTTGGATCAAACCGCATTTACTACTAATAGCTGAGGCACTTGAAACTACACTTCAAGATGAGATTGCAACAGTACGACTTCGAGCAGCCCGATGCTTGGATGTGGTCGTACATTCAATTAACGTGCATTTATTATCTCAAAGTAATCAGAAAAATGTGGAATTCGAACGTGATATTGAAATTGCTTTGCAATTTTGGTCAAAAATACTGACCATTCTAACCGAGCAACTACAAGATCTAACACAAAGTTCGGCAACAAAGTCGATTTTCTGTGACGCATTTTCCGATATTGGTGTTCATGTGTACGAGCGATTGGCGGTGAGTGCATTTGAATTAAATTGTTGCACGACTGTGACCGAAGGAGTTTAATGAATAAAATTTGGTAATGATTTCAGCGGCCCAAGCAAATGCACATAATCTCATTGCTGTCTGGCATATCATTGGGTGACGAAGAGGCAATTGTTCGTGCGTCGGCAGTGCGTGCTTTGGCCATTTTTGTGGTATTTCCATCGCTTAAAGAAGGTAAAATACCAGAAACTCATTCACAAGATAGATGACACATTTTAACCATTAATTTCCCAATCGTAGACATTTGCTATATTGAAAATACGACCGAAGCCATAATCCAACTAATGCAAGACGAATGTTTACCGGTGCGCATAAAGGCATCATGGGCTCTGGCAAATATAACCGACGTTTTGGTCGTGAACATGTAATTATTCTCGATTACTATGGACTAATTTTTCATTTGCTAAATTGTTCATTTGTTTATAGTTCGGATTCGAGTATCGATCAAATCTCTGAACATTTGCTGTGGCGTTTGTTTGAAATTACGGCGCCGACATGCAGTGACAATGACAAAGTGCGTACAAATGCAGCCCGAATACTTGGCAACCTGTTGCGATTGATCAAACCAAATCAGATTGTGGTGGAAAAGTGGCAAATCGTTTGCATCGATGCCATCAAGATGTTGTGCGATCAGGCCAAATTAAGCGGGACCAACTGGAATATGAAAGTCAAATGGAATGCTTGCTATGCGATCGGTAATTTCATGAAGAATGCCGTTATCTTTGACTTGCAAGGCAATCAGTTTTGCTGGCAGGTAAGCACAAATGTTTTATATCTCATTAGTGGCCAAAGACTTTGGTCTGGGTTTGTGTCAAATGTAGTTATTTGTCGCTCATTCATACTAATGAACACAAGTCAAAGACAATCGTTTTTTATTATCTTGATCTAATTTCTTCACTTTTACTCTATTGACAGGAGTTGATATTTCAGACGTTGTCGGATATCATTATAAAATGTGTGAACTTTAAAGTTCGAATAAATGGTGCAGCTGCACTGGCCATTCCCTCGAAGCGTGCTCATTACGGCCGATTCTATTTGAGTGTATGGAGTGCCTTATCGGTGGCGCTCTATCAGGCAAATCAACTCACCGACTTCAACGAATACAACCATCGTGACAATCTACTCGATCAGGTTTGTTAATATTATTCAATTTCAATATTTGGGTGTTTTACTTGAACAGCAGCACCTGATTTCTCCTTATCATTTTTTTTAACAGCTTTGCATCACAATATCTCATTTGATCAAATTGGCTACGGTTGACGATTTGATCGATTTGGAATGCATTCTACTACAGCAATTCGATTCAAACAAACAAAATTGGATTCGTGTCATTAATCGAATGGTACCGGAAAAGGCCGCCTCATTGCTCGAAGCAAATTTATATTTAAAAAATATAGCAAGCAGCAAAAGTCTTACAAGCGAACAAAAGAATTCCATCAAAACACTTCTGAATTGTTTTGTATCAATCACTGAATACGGCGATTGACTGGACGGTACATGAAGCGCAACCATGGGTAATTATCGGTACATAGAGAATCGTCATCTCTAACTAGAGACTCTACTGAGAGTCACTCAACAACATAAATCTAATCACTTTACCTGTTGTTTACCATTTTCAACACAGTGTGATCAAATTTAATCAAGCAAACTTCTAATTGTTAAAAACAATATGTAAAAAAAATTAAAGCAAGCACCAATTCAAACTATTTTTAAAATTTGTTGTTATTTATTATTGACCAATAAACATTCACATGCATTACAATAAATTTGCAAGATGTCAACGGAATACAATGTTGTGGTTTTGAAATTTCGATTTGATTTTATTTGTTTTGTTTTTTTTTTTTTCATTTTAAATTCAATTTCCGATGAGAAACTCTCGGTCGGTTTATTTCGCTTAAATTATACATGGATGCGCCATAATTGAACACAAAATATCAAGTTTTGTGTTTGATTTGTGTGTGGTTTTTGTTTTTTCTTTTGAAAATTGATAGCTAAAATCTAAAAAAAGAATTGTTGTTTGTTGTGTTTTATGGGAAAATCGCTTAAAAATTACTTCTTGTCTAAACCGTAGAATTTAACTGTACGATCCATACTTGTGGACGCCAAATAGTCTGCATTGGCACCAAACCGAACGCCAGTTGCTGATGATGTATGATCATTGAACACACACAATTCTTGCCATTGTTTGCACAAATAAATTCTGCAAATAGAGAGAAACAAAAGAAAACAAGGCACAAGGCGGCACGTTGAATAATTTTGTATAAAAAAAATATGAAGAACGATTTTTTTGTTAAACGGAAGACATCAAATTAAAAAGAAAAATACACATTTAAGAATAAAATGGGAGAAAATAAGCAACATGAATTGAGAAACAGAAAAACAAAAAAATATTTTAAAAAAAATAATGATTTTCTTTGTGAAGAACAAATGCAATGGTGTCTTACCTAACGTCTGTACCGGCGATAGCCAAGTAAGTACCACTGTGATCGAAGCATAGATCTTTAACTTCGTAGCCATCGTCCAATTGAATGGTGCGAATGTTTTTGAGTTTTCGCAAATCCCACAGTTTAACGCAGGCATCATCAGCGGCCGTGGCCAAGTAGTAACCGTTTTCGGAGAATGAAATTGCCGAAATGGGTCCGGTGTGACCGGGGAAATTGGCAACATTACTTTGCTCTTTGACATCCCAAATTTTCACTTGTGAATCTTCGGTACCCGTGCCAAAAATCAAACCATCCGGATGGAATTGGGCCGTTGTCAAGCCCACCTCATTGATATCCATGACTTTGGTGACCAAACGGCCTGTTTTTATGTCAGAGAATGCCCAATGTTTGTCTGATGAAGTCGATAGCAAATAATCGCCGGTTGGATGCAACGATAAACCTGTAACTGGGCCAGAGTGACAGCTCAATAGGAATTTGGTTTGAGACCTGCAATAAAAATTGAGTTTTTTTTTTTCGAAAATTTGATTAAAAAAAGAAAAAGAAGAGAAAAAAAACTCACGTTGGAACATTCCAAATACGGATTGTTTGATCCGGCGATGCAGTGATGACCGTTTCCCATTCTTCACGACGTTCCGGATGGTAAATGACTTTGGTAACTTTTTTCGTGTGACCTTTCAAAACCGAAACAATTTGTTGTGTGTCTTTGTTGAAAACGGTAGCGTTTTTGTCATTTCCACCGGTCAAAATCTTGTTATCGTTGAAACTGCAAACGTCGAGAGCTAAAATACCAGGTACACTGGCTGAATGGAGACCCTGCATTTGAGATGAAGAAAAAATGCCGTGTTAAAACATTGTTGGCAATTCTTGAAAATCGAATTAAAAAAAAAAACCAAAACGCAAACATACCGGATGGGATGCCAAAATTTTGAAGTTTTTAATTTGGTCGGGAACGACAAGATCCTTGGGCAATGTGCGACCACGGTTTCTACGCTCTTCTGTCAATACGGTGGCCTTTTCTTGTAATTTCTCAATAATTTCGGGTGTCATACCAGTCTGTTCGACCGGTTGTGTGGTATACGATACTGTATCAACGTCCATTGCCTGTTGATTAGCTCCAGTCGATGTCAAAATACCGGCTTGTGGTTTCAGTGTGGCCAACGCTTCACGAGCCGCCGCCACTTCCTTATTCAAACGGGCAATGACACGGCATGCAGCATCATGCTGATACAATGCATGGCTTAGCTCTTGTCGAGCGGTTTGCAATTGTTGACGCTGTGAAAATGTGTGCAACATTAATGCATCCCATTCGTCTTGCATTGTTTTCAATGCGGCCGGAATACTGGTTGCGCTCGGTGGTTTGGGTCGTACAATAGCCGGTACCTTAACTTCAATCAATTCTTCGGCTTTCAACTCTTTGCCCGTAATCGGATCGACGCCATTCTCCAAGAGATATTTCTCAATGATGCGGCGCTCGAAAATCGCGCCCGATACTGGTGACACAACCGGCTGTTCAGGCACTTCATTTGTAACTGTATGCGAGAAAATAAAAACCAAACATCATTTTCATGGAATAAATAGATGAATTTAATATTGGTTGAAAATTAGGCGCGGCATGCAAAAAATGCACCCATCATTGATGATTGTTATTGAATATAGCCGCATCGATTTACAAGCTTTTAACTACAACCTAACCTAACATTAGTGCAAAATGCACAATATTCCTTTTTGATCGAACGAAAATTATTCAATTTTCACTTACTCGCACAGATTAAAGCCATTGTACTCGTCGTTTTTTCTGTTTTATCACCTAATTTCTGTTGGATTTTAGTTTTATTCCCACGTACTTTATGCGAAAATTGATTTTTTTTTATCACCGATTCGTTTACAATACACTTTTTGGCTCTCGCTCAATTTAATGACATCGCGACAAATCGTTTATGTTTGATGTGATACCTTTTTAGCTTTGGTATGGTGTCGACACTGTCAAATTGGTGGTATCGCATGCACTGTGCCGGTCGCTACAGAAAAAAAAAATACACACACACTATAGACCATTTGACACTAAATGTCAAACGCTGTCTCTTTAATTATTTGGTATTAAAAAAATTTGACATTAGTCGCACGTGTCCAAAAAATACAGTGTTAACTATTTTGTCTGAGGCTATTTGACGATTAGAGTTTGTTGCAGACGCATTTCTTTGCTCACTTTGCTTTCGTAAATAAAAAATGGTTTTTTTCACGTGCAATCATTGCGGCGAATCACTGAAAAAAGCAGCCGTCGAAAAGCATTACTCGTTTAAATCATGTAAGTGGTGTTTGGTGCATTTGCATAAGTTTTAAGTCGAATGAGACGAGATTTGAGCGTAAATTACCTTTATTTGTTTATGGCTTGTAGGTCGAAATGCACCGATATTCCTGACATGTGTCGATTGTTTGAAGGATTTCCGTGAACAAGAGTATGTGGCACATACAAAAGTGAGTATTAACTCAAATTATTTGTCTTTACATTCTAAACGATTCAATGTTGTGCTAATATATTTGTCTTATCCCACCAAATGTGAACTTTCCAGTGCATAACTGAGGCAGAACGGTATTCAGCCAAGGGGTTTGTTGCAAAACCGGAAAAGAATAAAGGTGCCCAGAAGCAAGAAATGTGGACAGAATGCATTCAAGAATTGGCTGAACGGCCAAATTTCGACCGTAATACGAAAAATGTGTTGCAACGAATTGCCACCCAATCGAATGTGCCACGAAAGAAGCTGAAATTCGTAAATTTCCTGAAGAGCAGCATGCGTTACAGTCCCGTTCAAGCCGAAAAGATTTGGACAATTATCGAAGAAGGTTTGGAGGAGTTCAAGAAGAAATCAGCGCCAGCTGCAGCCCCACCGACACAAGCTCAACAGCAACTAGAGGAGGCAGCTGAACCAGAATCTCCAGCTACTGCTAGTGGATCTGAGTCAATGAGTGAATCAAATGAGAATGGAGCTGATGCATCGAATGGTGGTGCCAGTGATGTGACGGTGGAATCGATAATTGAGCAAGCTCTGGCTCAATCTGACTTAGGAAAAAGTACAAAAAAAGCATTGAAAAAATTACAAAAACGTGCAGACATTCCGTTGAATGTACAGTCACCGAAGAAAAAGAAGTTTATCAAATTTTTGCAAGAGCAACTCGAACTGGACGAATCAAACAGCAACGCTGTATGGGAAATACTTTCACAATCCATCCAAGCACTAGCATCCGAAGCGAATGGCATTTCAAATGAATCGAATGTGGGTAAAAAACGTAAAAATGGTGATGCATCGGATGGTGTGGCGAGCAAAAAACCAAAGACAGAGTTCAGTTTGGCCGATTCAACGACAGATGCCAACGGTGAATCTACATTCGATTGGCAGAAACATATTTTGCGAATTTTTAACAAAAACCAATCCAACAACATACTGCCGGTCGATTCGCTGAAATCAAAAGTCATCAAAAAATTCCTGAAATCCATCGGTGAGGATGACTCAAAAAGCGCTCAGTATGAAAAGAAATTCAAAAAAATACTGAAGAAAATTAACGGACTTTCGATTTCACAAGGCATGGTTCAATTGAATGAATAGATCTTCTTTCTTCTCTCTCCTTGACTTATCAATGTTTTCTTCGGCTAACATTATTCACATTAAAAAAAATACATTTATAATAAATAAATATGGAACTTTTATTAAATGATTTGTGTACGACTTTTTATAAATAGATTCCAAGTTTAGATACGTTATTGAATTGATGACGCCTAATTAATTGGATCTTATTGAAGAGATTTACATTTTAAGAGGATTATCAAATGAAATTATAGTCTCGTTGATTCAGCTGAATCAAAGACCCAAGGTTCTTTTTCCCATGGATTTTTTTCTTCAATGTTTGGTTTTATAGGCGATGCCTGAGATTGAAACGAAACAGTTCTTTGTCTTTTCACTGTTTTTCCTTGATCGACTGTTTTATTGCAATCAAAGACCCAAGGCCCTTTTTCCCATGGATTTTTCTCTTCAATGTTTGGTTTTATAGTCGATGCCTGAGTTCGAAACGAAACTGTTCTTGGTCGTTTGATTGCATCTATTTCGTCAACCGCTTTATTGGCATCAAAAACCAAAGGCTTTTGTTCCCAAGGACTTTTCGCTTCAGTTTTTAGTTTTTCATGCGATATATGCGATCGAAACGAAACTGTTCTTGGTCTTTTGATCGTTTCCCCTTGCTCAATTGAATTTTTACTATCAACATCACGATGGTTTTCTGCTTCAGGTTTTAGGACTTCATATGATGTCTGAGATCGAATCGACATTGTTCTTTGCCTTTTCTTTGTTTCTCGTTGAATTCGATTTTTCCATCTGCAAATACATAAAATATGTGAATTAAGCGAAAAAAGGGGATATAGTTCCCCTATATAGTATATTGTTGAATGATATTTGAATGAAATTTTAAACAAATTTAAAAGTAATAAAATTTACAAACCTCTTGTGGATGAGATGCAACACATGACGATTCATAACAAATATCACAAATATCACAAGACCTTGTAAAGTGTATGAAATATTTGCATAGAAGCCGATTCCATTCATCCCATATTGCATGGTCAATGCTTTTAAAATCCATGTCAAACAAGTTGCCATATGCAGTCGCAAATGCAAAGAGAAACTGAAAGAAAAACGGAGACAAACAATTAGAATGTTGTTGATTAATAGCTATCGACTTTTGCAGTTACTTGTCTCCATCATTAATGTGACTTCTTTGGCGATCAAATTTGAACCGAACTTCGTTGTCATTACAACAACTGTAAACAATGATTCCAGTCAATGTGAAAAACAACTGTGATACAGCGAATAATATCCAAATTGGTATGTAATATTTGAGGCAACCGGCACATAAATTCCCTGAAATTAGTCACATTTGAAATCAAGATAAGAAAAAAATGGAAGAATAATTCAAAAAAGTGAAATATCAAAATATACTTTTCATATCGTCTAAAAAACAAGTTGAAAGGCTGACCCATAACTGCTCCGTAGCCTTGCTTGGTTCGATTGCATGAAAGAGTAACGTTAGAAAAAGTGCCGATCCCCATGCATAAAACATATAGAGAAGTAGTAATTTTTGTTGAGAAAATGCGGTGAGTCCATTTATTGTTCTGTTTGGAAGTTGGGCGTTTTTAAAATAGATTTTTGGGGTTGAAAAAATGGAAACAAATCAAAAAGCAAAAAAGATCACTCACCGAAAACTTTTCCACAAATTGAAGCTAATTACATTGAGCCAAGCAAACGATGACATAAATGAGAAAAAGACAGTGTACCCGATGGTATCATAAATGGAACTCTCTGGAGGTATTTTGCTTACTTTCACTAAGACAATTAAAAAGTAGCTCATTGCCGGTCCGCTCAAGAAACACATCAACATTTTCCCAAAGAAATGATCCAAATCGGGCAAATAGAGGTAAACAGTGAATGTTGCCGTAAGGAGGATCGCCGATATAAACATATCTAATCAAAAATTAAAATTATTAACATTTTATACTACTAAAATTCATAGCTGATGGTGTAAAATAAGTGCAATCCATTCATATTCCGATAGAAAACGAAATTGAATATATTTTATGTGGGCGAACAATTACTTGCAGTCGTTGGGAATAGCGTGGAGTCTGGAAAAGTCTTAGCTTCTGCCCTTTGTTCTGTAAATGAATTCTGAAAACAAACCCATAACTTTGATTCAATTTCATTCGTTGTACTATTTCGGCTAAACTCTAACGAATATTGAGTGTGGCCTAACACGTCATCAATGTTCTTGCATGCATCTTCATCGGATGCATCTTCATCGCATGCATCTCCAGTCTGGGTGGGGTTTTAAAAAAATATATAAAAATCATTGAAAGCATTATTCAATAGAATGAAAAAAAAAAAATATTTTGTTAATTGAATGCATTACATGCAATATTTGATAATCACGCTCGTCAAATAAATCAGGACATGGTTGATCGAAAAGAAATCCGAAGTAATGGTCCAATGTTAAATTTTGTTTGTTCTGCCCATCGAATTTTACTGCATGCTTCAAATTCCGTACATTTTGATAGCTTGGACAATCTTCGCCGGTCGTTCCAAACGGACAGAGGAGTCGTATGAATGGCCGGTTTTCGGGTATACAGCCACGCAAATATGAATTCGTTTTGCGGGAAGTCGTTCCATTTTCGAGTACGTGAGTTAGGTACGCATATTTTGTGTATGCGATATTTTCAAAAATAATACTGTCGTCTGCTTGAAATTTTCCGCCGGTTATATTGACCGATTCTAGGAATTCACATGGTAGCTTATCGTACCGTTTTGAAACTGTAGTGTTTATCACTATTACGAGCAGACAAAATATTCGCCACTTCATGTTGCCCAACTTTAAAAATACAGCTAGAAAAATTCAAATAAATTCAGATGTTAGAAGATTTAATGAGAAAATGGGAAAGCAACAGATTTTGATAAATTTATCATCACGCTTTTAAAACCCTTCATATATGTTATAATTATACGTTTTTTCATTATTCCTTCTTAATCAAGACGATTCATATCGCGAGAAATGCCCATAGGTTCGTAAAATGAAATATGTTGGGTTGCAATTCAATGGAGCGTAATTACTAATTATGAAACAATGTATGACCAATTCGCACAATGACACACTTGTGCGTACCTCGTCTGAATCATAATTTGGGTAAATCACAATTTATATGCTGCTGTTCGAAATATAGGATATTTTAAGGTTTAAATTGACTTTATACCATATCTGATTGCAAACGGGGTTTTCAACCAAAAAATATCACGATCACTTATTTTCTTTCAATTTTAATGCCTTTTGAAGTGTTTGTTAATCACCATTTTAAGCGGGAAATGAGTGAACAATCAATTGACAACCATAGAACAGAACAACTTATGAGCTCTTTATCCACAACTGAGACGGAAAATAGCTCAGGGCAAAAAAGAGACAAATAAAGTTGCGAGCAAAAGTGACACAACTCAGCATTGAGCGGAAAAGACGTTTTTCATTTTTCTCGCTACTAGAAATAGATAAGGATTCGGTATCTCTTTGGCATTATTGTAGAAAATGAAAAGAACTACAAATAAGTCGAAGACATCCAATCGTTATCTATTTCCAGTAGCGAGAAAAATGAGAAAAAACTTCTTTTCCGCTCAATGTTGAGTTGTGTCACTTTTGCTCGCAACTTTATTTGTCTCTTTTCTGCTCTACGTTTTTTTTCCGTCTCAGTTATGGATAAGGGGCTCATAAGATGTTCTTTCATTCTATGGGTGTCAATTGATACACAAATTGGAAGGAAAAAGGCAAAGAAAAACTCACTTGAATCCTTAACAAAATAAAATCGATTGAAATCGTTAAATTGTCCGCTTTAGAAGACAATAAATTTTGTTTGTGGAATTAGAAATGTTTAAGAAATGAACCTTTCATAATTGAAAAATGTATTTTTTTTAATGCAAAACAATAAATTCTTGTTCCTAATCAAGAAAATGGAGTTAATCGGACGAAAGTCAAATATAAACTGAATACATCAATGGGTCCCCACTCGTTAACTACAGATTATATTGTGGCAGCAGCGAATTTATCAAACCACATAAACATGCAATATTTAAAAGACGAAATAAAAAAAACTCGATTGGAGACCATTTTGGGATGGAAATAAGCATCACTTTGATAAAAGACCATTGTGGGTTGGAATTGAAAAGATAAGGATAAAAACTGAATCTTTTTTTATGGAATAAGGAGTTGAATGACACGTTCTGCGCTTTTTCTTCTTCTTTTAAAAAAAATGACGAGCAATTGTAAGGAATGACGCGTCCGTTTATTCATCACGATTTCAGTGGAGAATCATTATACACATACATACCTATTGATGGCTATCGCTCTTTCTCTTTCTCTCGGTTCGGTGTCAGGAGTTCAATCAGAATTGAGTACTTCAACTCTTTAAGTGCAAAAATAAATAGAATAAAAACCCAATATCCCAATTTGGATCATATATTTAAAACTTTAATTTCAATACGAAGTACAATCTAATATAAATAAAAGCTAAAAATGTTCTTAAAACTTACGGGCTGAATGACAATGACTTGAATAACAAACATTCACTTTTTATTCAATAATAAAATTTGTGTCGGCTTTTTCTGTTCGGTTTTGGAACTGTCAAAGTTTTGATGCGATGTTGTTGTTTAAATAGTTGATAGAATTTATTTGATTCTTTTGTCACACCAAAATACAAATACAATATAAGTTATATTAAAACATCGAAATTACTGCAAGAATTTATTATTATTCACGTGGATAAGTTGTGTGGGTGTGAGTTAGCAATAATTTAATGCATTTTTTCGTCTTAAATCAATACAATTGTGTGTGTGTGTGTGTGTGTGTGTGTGTATAAATTAATTTTAGTCGATGGATGGCGATATTTATAAAAACTACAATGAATAATTTAATAATAGAACATGGAAAAATGTGAGAAGAAATTGATGTGAAATACGATGTTGGTTTTTATTTCGAGCTTGGGGTATGTGTACAAAAAATGTGGCCATTTCGAACGGGATTTTCTAGATTCAAACATTTATCGCTTGACTTAAGTAAAGAAGAAATGCCTTGTTATGTATTGTTTTATGTTTTTTTTTTGAAGAAAAGTCTTGTTTAGTAGAAGCTAGCGTCGATAAAGTGATTCATACGAGTTAGATACTAAATATGCTGTCATTGTCTCTTAGCATCTAATATATTGTGCGCATTCTATTTGTATGGCAAGGAACAAACATCTAAAAAAAGAAAGCTTCACATAATCAGTATCATGCATATTCTTATTCCCGAAACATATATTATTATTGTTGAACACATTTATTCGACCGTTCATCGATAATAATAAATTATATTAATTTTTTCCGTTCATTTTCCGTCTTTTTGTTATCACGTTTACTTGAAATTCCTTCGACCAATTGATTTGGATGTTAGGATGCTTTTCATTTATTTCTTTCTTCGATTCACTGTTTTACGCTGTTTATTCTCGAAAATGTTCGGCTTCTTTTTCTTCGTTCACCCTCTCACTCTCACTTCTGACGATTCCGATTTTATTTACATGTGTGCTCTTCAATTACTCGTGTGCATGTTTCGCATTTGACGTGACAACACCAATGGAATTTGCAATTGCATCGCTCTTTCACCACAATTTTCTTCGTATTGTAACCACGACCGCAGCAAAGTATTGCACAACCATCCAAACCAGATGACGTCTTGTTGCATACTCGATTATGCGTTCCTGTCAGAATTGAAAAAAAAAAGATTTTAGTTCGGAAATTGAAAGAAAAAAGATTATTTTTTTTTCATTTTCTTCATAAACATGAGAGAAGAACTCTCTTTTACCTGGCCATTGGAGCTGTTTCGTGTTGCGACACCAATCTGGACTCTCATCCAAATACACCAAATCATTGGCGGTGGGAATTTTGTAACGGCTATCTTTCACTTGCAAAAATCCACGCTTATTCAGTTTCACTTGGGTGGCTTCGTCGTATTTTTCACGCAAGTAATCACCTATTTTAGAGGACAAATGATGAGAGCTCATCAGTATTTGACATTTTCTTTGAATTTGATATTTTATTGTAATTTTATTCTCTTTTTGTTTCTTTTTTGTTTTTGTTTTTTTATTTTTCCATTAAAAAATCGTTATTTCTTCGGCGGTACTTACCGATTTCACGAATCGATGTTAATTGTTGCCAGCATGTTATTAAACTGCACGAACCAGATACACCATGGCATTTACAAGTGATACGAGACTTGTTTATCATTGCCTGTGGAAATTGAATGGTGAGAAATTCGATCATTTCATTCGAAACTATTCCAAAAAACGCTAATAATGGAGAATTGGATGAGTATACATACCCGTCGACCAGCCTCGTTGTTATGAATGTTCATTTTGCTGCGAGCTTTTGCCGATGCGCTGCTCTTATAGCGATTTCGGGACGGAGTTGAGCCACCGCGTTGATTCTTTTTGAAATTCCCATAATATCCTTGATTCTCGAGATTGAATACCTTTGAATTTAGTATTTCATGGTTGATTTTTGCCTGTTGCGAACGGTTGAAGCAATTGGTTAGCAATTTTTATTTTATTTTTCAAGAGTATTTGTTTCAATTGTTCTATCTATTTATTTAAAACTAGCTGTTCTCTGCGTGCTTCGCTACGCGTTTATATTTTCAATGTCATCAAAAGTAATGTATGGAATTTATCATTTGATCTAGGTCTGTTCGGGTTATACCATTTATCAATAAAAATATGCGTTGCAAAGTTATGTATATCTACTGTTGAATTTTGTTTATTTTTCGTTTATTCCCTACGAAATATTGTTGTTCTTGATATGAATCAATTTTATTTCATTTAATATTGTAAAGTTATTATATGGAATGCGAAATGATTCGATATGCAATAGTAAATATATTTTTGTTATGATTTTCATTTTTGTTTGTTTGAATTTTTACTACAAATGCATTTCATTTCGTCAATGTTTGTCACATTACTTGGTGAGTTTCCATTGAATAGATCATTCTTGAGTTTGATTTTTTTTCGATTCAATTCTTTTGAAAATATTTGTGGGAGATATATCAAAATGGACCATACAGAAATTGAATTGATAACAAAATCACAGTAAAACGAATACTATGATGATAAAGGAATTTTTTTACTTTTTTTTAACATGGTTTTCTCATGATAAGAAGTGTTTAATGGTAATATAACCCGATGGCCGACTATGATGGCCTATTTTCATTTTCTTTTTCATTTCAAACATTTGATACCCATATTGACTATGTATTCATACAGTGAAAATGGTGTTAGGTCGTGTTAACATGACCATTGTGAACCGTGATGGTGTCCATGTTCATCTCCATTCCAAGCCCTTTCATATGATACTCATGTCGACTATATTTAAGCAAAAATGGTGTTAAGTCGTGTTAACTCGACCATGATAGACCGTGATGGACCAAGATGTTTCTAGGAACCTTCTCCAGACCAAGAGCTTTCCAACGGTATCTTTGGATCCCAAATCGGATGAACGGTTTGGCCAAACATTCGTGACATACATACAGCTCTTTTTTATATATATAGATAAGATTATTTTCCATTGCCTATTCTTCATTTTGTTGCTTCGATTCCATTCAATATTGATTATTTTAACTTCATTCTAATTTATTGTTCCTAATTCAATGTTTAAATTTATTGTTTCCAAATATTTGAATCAAAATTGATTTCATAGACTAAAAATGTTTACCTGTAGTTCGTGCATTTCATTTTCGCCGAGTTTAGTGCTCAAGATTTCCTTTGTGATTTTCTCTTGTAATTCGAGCAAATGCTCCGGTTTAAATCCAGTTGGAGTATTATCAGGTCGTGGGATGATTGGTGTTGATCCATTGGTGCTGTTGCTGTTTGTTTCATTGTGTGTAACTTTCTCGTCGTCGAGCTTTGTGTATTTCGGTGGTACTGAAACAACTCCACGTTGTGAACGTTTCCGTTCATTTTCTCGAATATCGATGAATTGCTGCGAAAATCTGGAAAAGAAAGGAAAATCGTATTTTAAGGAAACGATTTTTTTCATCAAAATGGTCAAGCTGAAGCTTCCAATCAAGTTTTAAATTCTACCGGTAAGAAATGATCAAATCATAAGTTCTACTGGAAAATCAAAGTTCAACAGCAAGTTATAAGCTCATGGAGTCATGGCTCGTTAGAGCGTTCATGTGGATGTATTTGATAAAGCCCCTCATGAAATAAATGTAATGAACAGTATGTATCGTGGCTGTGTGGTGGATAAAACTAAAGCGTCGCGTAGTCTACTTGTGGGTTTTGAGCTATGCACATGCTATCAGGCGTTCATTTCACCGAAAAAGAAGGGCTTTGTCACAAACCGAATATACGACGATTATCCACATTTTTATCAGCTGCGGTGGATAGCATGTCGTCTGTGTGTGTTTGTGTTTTGTGGTAGCTATTTACTCCACTTGCCACTCCAATTCGGTCGACGTAGAAATGGGGCTACCGTTTTCTGAACGCCTGATTCGAAGAGATTTAAAAAGCATAGTTTACCTCAAAATCCGAATTGAGATTAGAATTAAAGTGATATCCATCTCCGGATTTTCGGTTCCGTTTTAATGTTCATCCGTTGCAATAGCGTAAGCAAATGGAGAGGATCGCGGGAAAAGTTCGTTCGTTCAAAAGCAACAGCGATTGGCGAATTAAGCATAGATTTAAGTGTTAAATCTCCAAATCATGCTGGTATGGCATGGCCGGAGAATGCTCCTCCAAAGCATTGGAGCTTGTCGATGTCGCCGATGTTGTTGTTATTCCATATGAGAATGTGCTGAAGAAATGGTTCGGCTGTGTTGCCGAACGTCTAAACATTGGGGCGAAGAATTTCGTTCTGGAATTGTTATAACAACACTTCATACCATGGAAAATGTGTTTACTTCACATACTTCACATTCCATTCGCATACCAAACACTAGCAGTTTGTGTACATATGAGGGTTAAACCGTGAAAAACTGCTCGTGCTCAGTAGAGAGTGCTATGCACTGTGTACACAGAGACACACGACGCGGAAACCAATACGCACATTTTTTCCAAATCACAACTACCAGAACATTTTTGCCGCATACTTCTGTGGCCCTGTTAAACGGTAATCTTTTATACACCACGCCTTCTGTAGGAAATATTCCACTTTTAAGGCTGAACAACGAACGTCCTCCTGTTTTTTGCGTGTGTTCAACAATTTGTTAACTGGGCAATTCAACGCCAACTGAACCCTACCATTGAACCACATCGAACCGTCGCACCAAGACCGCATGCTCATATTCAGCACCCAACATTTTTTTAAACAAATTCAAGCTACACACACTCTCTCTCTCTCTCTCTCTCTCTCTCTCTCTCGACACTGACATTCATGGATATATAACCAAAATGTTTATGCAAAACGTACTTTTCCGTCCTCCTGCTCTGCTCCATCGATTAGAGAGCGTTTTGTGTCCGAATCATATGATACCATTCAACAAACAAACAAACCGTCGGGTTTTGTGTGTTAATTGCGTTATCAGAGAGGGCAAACACACGTATCACCGGCAAACGCAACACGCATACATGGGATGGCATAAATTTCAACAAAATTGCTACAATCATGCTGTTCCACGAACGCGCGAGATGGATAAAAAAATCGATATTTTGTCAACGTCGCCGTTGCCGTCGTCGCCATCGTTGTCGACAAACAGTGTCACAAACAAGCCACACTTACATGATAACCACGTGTATGCCTGCTACTCGGTGGTGTTTGCCTGTTCCAATGTTTCGAGTTGCGCAAAGCCAATAATTCAAATTCACCAGCATTCAATGGATTTGCTGCACGAATCGATCGCAAACCGTACGCACAGCGAGGGAAAATGTGCACCACTGCTTTTCTCCATGCCATCGTTCTGGTCGCCTGTTACATGGAAAATCATTTTTAGAGAAAGCTGTTTGTGGCAAATCATCGAAAATCAACCCTTGTGAAAATTGAACGAACATTACGAGATCAGATCAACCGTAATCAAATGCGATGCTCACTTCGTTACGGAACAAATTGATTCGGATGATTCAATTAAATACCGAATAATTATGGGAATCGGTTGGAAATTGCGGATTAAGCGAGAAAATCAGAAGCTTTTTCATGAAGATCATGGATTGGCTTGGGAGTTTTCCGAAAGAAATGGTGAAATTGATGATATAAGTTGATGGTTCTGATTTTTCATTGCAACGAAAAATGCTTATTTTTTGTAAAACACCACGACATTTCTTGGGTTTTCAATAAATATTCAATGAATGGCAGGCAAAGTTGAGCCTTTCGACGGAGAATAAATGAAATTGTGACCATGTTACAAAAAATTAAGTCGGATTTTTCATTTAACTGATGGTCCTTCTACGCGATTCCCACCAACCATACACGATGTTTGTGTCTGAAAACTTTGTGAGCGCTTGGACAGTGTGTTACTTAACCAACGGTCGGCAATTTTTTTTCTCGCAGGGATAAATGGCGAACAAGTGAGCAAACGCATTTCATGACATTTCAATCTCACCGAAACGGATGAACATCGGTTTGGTTTTTTTTGTTTTTGGCGCGTTGTGAAAAATCCATGAAAAGTTGTTTTTTTGTTTCGGATAAAACTTGCAAAGCCACATTTCCGAAGGAAAAGCTCATTTTCAGCTGCAAGGAAAAGCAGTACATGTGTGTTTTTCCACATAAAAATATCTAGCTATTTTCTCGTACCGTGGGAATGAATCGTTCTGAATAGCAACTCGAGAAAAAAAAAAGTGGTTGACAAGAGTGAAGGGGAAAAAAGAGGAGCGAATTTATTTATTTATGGTTGACGATCTCATGAACATCTGCGTTCTGTTGGAAATTTATAGCATTTTGTTTCTTCTTCGGGTTTTTTTTTCTCCATTCTCTGCGGCTGAATATTCAAGTCTGTCTTCGAAAGGATGTGTTTGATTTAAATTCGCAAAGAGAAAACCGTTCGTGTGTTTTTCTCTCAAAAGAAACAAAATAAAAAATGTCGATATAAATATGATTGAAGTTTTAGTTGGGATGCGATTGAAAGCGGTATATTCGTTTTTATTCAGTTGAGTAATTGCATTTTCTTCCGATCGAAAACTTTTACGACTGCATATTAATAAATGAGAGCGGACAAAAAGTACATCTGCGAAATGTTTGCACTGGATCGTGGCGTTGAGATGGTGTGTCGTTCGCGCAATAGATATCATAAAATGCACATCAGCATTTTTTTGTTGTTTCGGCTCATATGTGTGCAAATGGTAATTTATGTACCCTTCGATCCTCGTGTGTGCACGGATTTTGTGGATTTGTTTCGTTTCGTTTGTTGTTGTTGTTGTTGTTGTTGTTGTAGCAAGGTTGTGCCACACACTTGAAACAATAAATTCGTTTCAAATCATCATATTTATTCTACGGTTTGTTTCTTATAATATCGCTCACGTTTTTGTTTTGTTCATTGTACGAATCGCTTTTCCTTCTTTTTTTCCCCGTTGTTTCTGGTGCTGCTGCCGCTGTTGTTGTGTGTGCGTTTTCGTCGTTTGGGTTAGACATTCAAGTGGTTCCAATATATTGCGTTTCATAAATATTTGTGAAGCGAATGTGTGTGTGTGTGTGTGTCTGTATATATATTTTCATAAATCCGTCCATTGTTTGTCTCGCTGAACTGCGATTTGGCCCGCGTATGGGCTTCACCATTCAGCCAGTTTACATGTGCAATTTTTCCACAAGTGCACTTGACATAGACTTATTTTGACACTGCTTATTTTCCGTCGTTAATATTTTATATGCGCATTCATATAAATGGGCCGGAGCGTATATGAGGCGCTAGTCGAGCGCCAGTTCGCTCGCTCGCTCACTCTATCACTCACACATTCACTTCACGCAATTCAACGGGAACAGCAATCATTTTTGAAACTAATAGGCGAACGGATTTCGGGCAGAATCGGTTCGTCATCAAATCAAGATCTGTTGCCAGCAGAAATGTTTTTTTTTGCATCGTTGATTACCCACTTGTGTTCCTCATCCCCTTTCAGCTTACGCTTTAGCCATTTAAGCGGAAAAAATGCGTTATTGTCGAAGAAACCGTTTGACTTTTGCCATGGATATCATTTTTATTCAATGATGACGCATCAATAATATTGACTTGAAATCAAAATACGAATATTTTCTTAGTATTCATTTGCATTCTCCTTCTAATTTCATTTCGGACAAATTATATTCGCGTCGTAAAACCAATCGATTATCTAAAAAAATAACAGCCTACTGAAAAAATCATTAACACCAGAAACTTACTTGTAACCAAATTGGAGATCGTCACCGCAACCGCCCCATGTCCAATCGCTGTGCAATTGACGTGGTCGTGAACTGCGCGAACAACCACATGTTGAGAGTTGACCATCGCGACAAGCACGTGCTACAAACGAAGCAGCTGCTGCAGCGGCCATTGCATGCACAAATGCCATTTCGGGTGAACCTGCAAATAATGGAAATCGAAAAAACACAAACATTTAATATGCATATTAATTGAACTGCAACCCGTCAACTGCATTTGATTTGAATTACACTTTCTAATTATACGAATGTATGCTTCCTCCTGCGTACTTCTGCTATAGCGCTTAGTCTAACTTTTTTTCTTTCAGTTAAATCAATGTCATCGTAGCAGTTGGGGCCGATAACTGAATTCAGTTAACGTTAACGTAAGTACGGAAATTGTTTACGCTTCATGTGCGTTTAGTACAACGCCATTTCTTCGTTACCGTGACAAATTGCATGAAAAATGCATGCGTAAGGTAAAAAAAGAAAGAAATGGGGAAAAAAACTCAAAGAATTCATCGAAGTCATAAAACTTTCAAAGCATCTTGGCAGCAAAGCCGATACCAAACCGATCATAATTTTGTTTGCTTTGGCAATGACGATAAGCATTTTGGAGAGTATACAGAGAGCATTTCGGAGGAAAAAGAAATGTCTCAAGATTTCGGTTTCTTCGAGTCGTGTAGAAAACTCTTTTGAAGATAAAGAAGTATGATTGAAAATAAAAACTAATTCAAAACAAGAAATTCCTTCTGAAAGAAGGAAGAAGAAGAAAGAAAATGATACATTTTTAAAATATGTAAAAGGATGATGAATAGTGAGTACTTTGGCAAATATGCAACAATTTCATAGATTGCAAAAACATATATTTCAAAAGAAACCTTTTTTCTATGTGAAAATGAAAGTCAATGAACGACGTCATATTGTGCGCACATTGACGTCGATGGCGTGATAAGTTGCATTATGTCACCATAAAATGATTACTCGGTTGAATCATAAACGGACCGACAAAGCGCTTACCCCTTTTTTTTCTATATTCAACCATTCTTCATCTATGAATCATTTTAAAATCGACCGAAAACTTCGTCGTCAATTCCACTGATTAGAATATTAATTTGGTGGATGTATGTGTATATATCAATGGGTTATATATATAGTTAATGCGCTTACATGTGTTGGGTAAAAAGTGTGCCTGGCTTTGAACACAAAAAACGAATGAATGAACGAGAGCGAGATAGAGTAAAAAAAAGTGGTGCACGTTCGAACGTGACCGCTCGAGTACAATAACCCAAATTTAATGAGACTGTCGCTCGAAGTTCATAGTTTGATGCATACACACACATACACATACACATTATGCATGCAACTTATTCAATTTGTCGGGCATTATGAATGGAATCTATTTGCGAACAAAACATAATTAACTGGGTGATGTGTGTGTGTGTGTCTTTCCATCATCTTCATCGATGAAATTATACCGAGTAGAAAATATGAAATTTTTAAATTGAAATCTGTGCAGAGACACTTATCGGTCTTTGTGTGTGTGTGTGTGTTCTATATCTCGTCATTCGATCAGAAAATTGTCTCAACTAAACTAATTGAAATCGAGGTCGGTTTGTAGCTAATACATGCATGTAAACTGATTGAACAAAAAAAAAAATCGGATGAAAAAAAAGAACGTATTTTGGTGTAACCCCTATTTTTTTAGTAAAACCCGATTCATCGAATGCGTCAAATGAAAAGAAAGTGAAATGATATAATGTTACGTGTTGTTGTGTGTAGTCAATGAACAATGCGAATATTTTGTGTGACCATGTTTTACATATTGCCATAGGGATCCGACCGACCGACGAATGTTCACAACATTCGAACACAGCAACAACGACAACAAAAATATAATAACTGACTATTTTGTTGTACTCTCATTGTGTTTAATTTGACATTATTACATTTTTTTTTACTGTCGTTCAGTTTTACGACTCCATAATAGTTAATGCCGCTCTTTGATCTTTATTTGAGGAATTACTTTTTTTATGGATGCGTTTGAAGAACATTTTTGTCGAGAGATACACACACACACACACACACACAGAGAGAGAGAGAGAGAGAGAGAGAGAGAGAGAGAGAGAGAGAGAGAGAGAGAGAGAGAGAGAGAGAGAGAGAGAGAGAGAGAGAGAGAGAGAGAGAGAGAGAGAGAGAGAGAGAGAGAGAGAGAGAGAGAGAGACCGAGAGAATAGAAAGATAGAAGTGTGAAATTCCACAATTTCCATTTATGGGTCCTTTTGAGTGAAGAGAAAGTCACTTACGCTACGATGATTTTTCAATCATCGGTTTAGATCTGAGAATTCGAGTCAAACTCACATGCACACACACACACACACACACACACACACACACACACACACGGTTCGGTTGAAGACTCAAGTTTGCCTCGATTTCACACGCATTTCAAGCATTTTAATCTGTTTAGGATTTGACATACACACATTCGCATTCGATACCGTACAACACGGCCAATATGCTCGGGTCCGGGCTTGGTATGAGTGCAGTTCAGCTTTGGTGTTTGAAACCAGTATGTCAATATTAGATCGGTGCGGAAATAATGCATTATGCGACAGCATATGTACGACATAGGTACGTTACTTGTTGTTGGCCCCAGCATCGGGAATTTATTATTTCGTTTCCTTTTCGCTCTTTCTATTTTGTTCGACCATAGTGCGATTGAGAGGACAAACAATGGTGAGAGAGAGCGAAAGAAAAAAAAGGCAAAACGAAGCAGTATTTAAATTCAGGAAATTGAAAATCAGTTGAAATGTTGTGTGTGCTGTCGTGTACATATTCGACGGATTTGGCCTTATCATCATCATTCACAAATTAACGACTCGAAGCAAGCATACTATGGGCTTTGAGAGCCGGCGATTGTTGGAAATGAAACAATTTAATCAGTACATTTTCGCGGTGCATTTAACCGGGCTCGCTCAAATGGAATTAAAATGATTTGTAACGATTTTGAAAAAGTGCTTCAAGGAAACTCATGACCGCATGACACAAACGAAGTAAAAATACACTGAATTCCGAGGATTTCCATTTAAATCTCCTGGCCCAAACGAAGAACGGGCTGAGAGGTAGGGAACGAGAGAGAGAGAGAGAGAGAGAAGGAGTGAAATTGGGCTGTGAAGCAAACAAATCTCGAGCCATTTGTTTTGACTCAATTTTTATGTTTTGCTATTGTTGAATTTAAACATCTTTTGCATGAATTAGTCTTCGTTCGTTGTGTTGGTTTTTTATTCTGTATCATTTTGGACGGGAGAAAAAAGCTACAGAACATTCAAGAGTCGCATTCAAAGATCTATTATATTGTCATTTTATAGTTGCGTTGGAATGGAAAGAAAGAAAGCTTGAGTAGATTTGATGGTAGTGTAATACAGAAGTTGTGTATGCTTCCTTTTGTTCGGCAAACAGGGCAAAAGACACATGGAATGAGTGAGAGCGAGAGAGGGAGATAGATAGAAAGAGACCGAGCGCTTAGATTTGATGTCGAATTCATTGCTCTTGCAATTTGTAACCCGTTGTGTTGTCGTCTCGGGGGCATGGCCAGAGCCAACGATCATGGTTAAGGCCAGTGAATATCAGATGCGCAACACATCAACATCCAGTACATTTAATGCCAGTCCATTTGTTTATGCCCTCGCATCACAAAGGGTTATATTTGCCTTCTCTCTCTCTCTCTCTCTCTCTCTGTGTGTGTGTGTGTGTGTGTGTGTGTGTCTCTCTTTCCTTAGCTATAAAATGCTTTTGGGTTTGAGTCGGTTAACATTTTGAATTGGTTTGGCAAAAGGAAAGGTTATTGTAAGCTCATAGCTATTATTATATACAAATTAGATGCAATCTCTATTCTATACGGTTATTTGATTTTTCCGCTTCATCCAGAGCAGAGTGAGAGAATGAAAAAAAGTATCGAATCACTCGCACATGTATACACACACTCGCTCCCACTGACTGATATTTTGGTTCGACTGCACGTAACTGTAATTTGATCAGATTTGATACAGAAAATGTGTGTACTGACTCACTGTTTGCTACCGTTTTTTTTTCCTCTCTATTCTATCTGCGTTGGTTTCTTTCTGCTGTTGTTGGTCTCGTGTATGATATAGCGCTACTTATTTGCTTACAAACAATGTTGAACTTGCTGCCAGCCCAAACAATTGCCACACATTGAAGCGGCCGCGCGGCAAGAAAGCGAAAATGTTATATGGGAAAATGGCTTCGAGCAAATCCAACCAAAATCTGTATACTCTTTCATATTCCGATGTGTGTGTGTGTGTGTGCTTGTCTGTGTATGGATGCATGTTCATATTTGCTTACTTGGTATGTTCACTACGTAAAATACTATACATAAATTCGATGTTTCGTTTGCATTTTTTTGCCTTACGTTTTGTTCAATGAAATGTACATGCGAACATTGCCATCGGGAAGAGAGTAGGAGATTTAACGCGCTTACAGATCTTTCGAACAGGAGTCGCAGCAATTTTCTCATAGTCATACCAATACGCATTGATACCCGATAGTTAGATAGTTTGGGTATGTGTTGTGTCTTTTTATGTGCATTTAAACACCAATAAATAATTGACAAATTCGAATTACTCGGACCGAAATTATGCGATGTACACAATTTCCCGAGACATCCGAAATGAAAAGAAAAGGATGAAGGCAATCAGCAAAATGGACACATTCATATTCAAGTGGTGACTTCCGATCTACAATGACGATAAGCTCAAGAATTGACTCGCCGAAGAAAAGGAAGAAAAAGATGATGCGAACAAAAAAAATGGACTTCGATTTCGATTATATGAGTCAATTTAGTGCCTTTGCTCAGATATGGTTCTGATTCTATGAAGTTATCAATTGTTCATTTTTTTTTTTGTTCAAACAAACGTTTTCAATTTATGATATGGCAATCGATAAATGAAGAGAAAAAGCGAGAGAGAGAGAAGATAGAGGAGGAAAAATATAAAAAACCAAATCAAACAATTCAATGTATTAACATGCCTCAAAGCGGTCAACATTTCAACTGTGTGCTTTTTTAGACGAATTGTTTGAAAACGGAAAAAAGACACGCTCGCAACAACAAAATACTAGAAAAATCCACAAAACGAATGAACCGACAGGTGTATAAATAGTTATTGTGTGGTGGTGGCGGCATTGGCAAAAGGGAGAATGGAATGAAAAATAGACGAGTCCCATTCAATGAAATCGTGAGAGCCAGCGCGGAGCCGCTGCCGCCGTCGGGCTCTTCTTTTTCATCATATATATTATATTTATATTATCACAAGCTGTACAGTTTTAACATAATAAACCGCTACTTTTGTGCGCGAAAACCCGTGTATCCTTTTATGCATTCGACAGAGGTGCGGATTTATTGATTTAAAAACGAAATGATTTGCCAGCCTTTGTTTTGATTGAAGGCAAAAGCCGCGACCGCTGAAAACAGTAAACAAAACATCAAAGTGGAATACAATTGAATTTGAATTCAGCGCCGAACACACTATTGCCGAAAATTGTGTATATAGCTGATTTATGCGTAGCGGCTCATCGATGTGAAAAGCGAAACTAGATATGAAATAATGTTGATCCCTGGCAATTCTTCTATATGTGAATATTTATTTGAACGCTTTTTAATCAAATTCAAAGAGAGCCAACAAATTTCCCGTTCTTTCACCAGTTTACTCTCGTGATATTTGTGTCGGATGCTTTTAACGGTTCGGGCATTATGGTATTTTGAATCTAATAGGCTTATAGGTTGCTATGGCTTCTTGTTAAAGACTTTTTACCATTTTCAAATCATTTTTCGTCCAAACAGTGTGTACTACACACGCACCCACACACAAAATATTCAATATTCGCATCGGGGAATTATGCGGCCACAATTTTGCGAAAACTAGCATAATCTTTGAATGGTGCACATTTGCATCGAAAGTAAAACGTTTAGCTTTTCTTCTGAATAGATGGAGATATGCTATGAAAAGGATTTGCTCTCCAACGAATTCTCATACGTATGAAATTTGAATAGCAAAAAAAAAAAATCCAAACCAAAAAGTGCAATTATATTGTTGAAGAGCATGAAATGTGCTCGCACACACGCAAACACATGAAATCTGGGGAGTAGATCCATATTTGAGCTTACATCAACTCTTGACTCCATTCCGTTCGCATTTTGGCACTGGCCAATTATTGCATCCATTAAAGAGGCAAAGTAATAACTAGCCGCATGGCCACACGCTCACTGCTCTCGCATAAGTACCACAAGATTTATGAATGGAATAGCGTATTTAGTTTGTGCAAACAAGCTTGAATCAAATAGCTTGAACATGTATGCTTCAATTTAAGCGCTTCATATATGAAGTGCCTGCTCAACCATTACGGGGTTTTTATTCCGTCTTCTGTTGTTTGTGCTTTTGTAAAATGAAAAACCACCGGTGATATTCTGGTCTCCATCACGTGCATTATGTGCTCTCAACTGAATGGATGAGTGTGTATGTTTTGAGTGCGCGTGATGGAGAGAAGAAAAAGAAGAAAAAAATCAATCGAGTGAATTCGCCAAAAGTTTAGCTCGTTATTAAAACTGTTGGACGCCTTCTGAAATGGCTAGACTATGGAATAAATATGTTATTGATTCGACTACTACAGTCTTTATGAAATATGAAATTAAACCATACAAGTGCGCCGGGATTTAACAAGAGCGTTTCCATGTTCAATTTGTAATTTATTTGCATCAAAATTGATTGTGTCGATCGGCACAATTTGCTAAACTGGCCCTAATTGACGATAAACAATAAAGCATTTGAGGAGAACAAGAGGGAGGGAGAGAGAGAGAGAAAGTGTGCGGTTGATTTTTATAGAATGTCAAAGTTATCATCATGGAAGTGGCACCATGCAGCAACTGTAATAAAATTGACGATGCAATGAAATAACCAACGCGAACCGACCATCCAATAGAAAATGCAATTCAATAGACGACGTTCATTTGGTGAAAATCCATTACGTGTGTGTGCACGTACGTTGTGCATATGCGATATTTACTGCTTATAGAACATTAACTGCATTTGATGTGTGATCTAGTGAAAGACAAGCACAACCAACCAAAACCATTTTCATGAATACGCGCTGGTAAAACAATCACAGCCCGAGAGTGAACAGTCACGGCCGAGAGTGAAAGAGAGCCGTTACATGGCAAAATATATGGCAAAACAAAAGGGCCTTTGGAAATGAACAAACGAACGAAACAAAAAAAAATGAGATGAGATCCGAACGAAACCAGAAAAACGAATGATAATCAAGCGTAAAGCGTGCATAATTATCAATCAAATTATGTTTTTGCTAAGTGAATGCGTGTACGAGTGAGTGAAAGAGTGGCTGTGTGCATGGAGCAGTCATTGAGCACTGCGATATGAATAGATAGATAGAGAGAGAAAGAGAGAGAGTGCGAGCAAGCGATACCCAGTTGGAGTGAAACGAATGCTGGATGCGACGTAAAATGATTACGGGGATTTTGTGTTTTATGGAAATACATTGAAATGACAAAAGCATTCAGTCGCAGATACACACAATTTTCCAAAATATTTCATTGTATTTTACGGCCCGAAATGACGAACCCTCGGAGAGAAAATCCGTACGGCACAACCAGCACTGGCCAACCAATTTTTTTTCTCGGGCTCGTACTCTCTCTCAACCTCGGTCTCTCTCTCTGTCTCTCTGTCTCTCTCTCGCCATCTCTTTCAACGCAAAGAACGGAATTACACCAAAAGTATTAGAACGAATCGTTAACAATGCACACCAATTCTCGACTCACTTTTCTATTCGTGTGTTCGTTGCTATTTTCGGTAGAAAAAAAAAACAAGGAAGACTATAAAGAAGAAAGACTTTTGGAGAAAATGCTATTATACCATTTGAATTATCTGATTGCGCTTATTGCGCCGATAGAAAGAGAGTATTTGTCTTCATTCGTAAATGGGACGCACACAATGAATCCTGCGAAGAAAACAATGAAACAAATTGGCCGACATTTTTGCCATGGTATTTAGGATATTTTCAATTTTCATTGGTATTATTATCGCATTTGATACGCTTGGATATTTCAATTTCTCTCTTCCTTTGATTTTATTTTCTTCTTTCTCATCCTCGGTACAAAGAGGCATTTGATACTTTTTCTAACGACGCAACATTTTCGGCCCATGATCTACTTATTCACTGGGAAATGAATGTGTAGAAGATTTTTTTTTTTCGGAAACAGCATGCAAAATACTCATCAAATCTAGGCTAATGGAGACGAACATTTTGCGTTTATTTTTCTGTGCCATTTTTTTCCGTTGAATTTGACCGAATTTCAAACCATAGCTTCGTGTTCAAACTGAAATTGTTCGCCCCTCATTTCACATTCACGCAATTGGTGTTGCTTTGCGAGCAATTTCTTCTGAACCCAAAAAAGCAAAAACTAGAACAAATTGAATGTGAAAAATAACCACTTACCTAATCCGCTAATTGGTCCAAACACCGTGTTGTCGTCGATTGTGCTACAATTCCAGCGTCGATTTTTGAACTGATGTTTGCATTCCTGTTTCGTTTGTTGTTTTCAGTGTACATTTCGACGAATATGAAACGGAAACAATAACAAAATGAATGTCAAGATTAAATTATGGCCTTAAATCGCTGCATATTTTTGTTTCTCTCTCTCTCTCTCTCTCTCTCTCTCTCTCTCTCTCTCATTTTTTTTTACTTCTCTTTATCTATCGAATAAATTAAGCTTTTCCCTTGCGTGCAATCATTTGTATGTTTATCTGTTCTCACCATATGCTCACGCATATTATATATTCTTGTTCTTGTTTCGTGTTATTATGCGCCTTTTTGAGCATTTGAAAATCCCTTTCTTCCCGATTCTATTATTATGATTTCATCGTTTGTCTATGTGTGTATGATGAACACGAATGAAGAGTGAAAAGACCACACAACCAGTCATCCATACTCTCTGTCTCTGCTAGTGTATTTTATTGACTCATTCAGATTATATTTATCAATTGTGATTACGTGTACAGTTGTTATTCTCGTCATCGTTTTCTTCTTGTTGTTCTTTGTGAAATTTACGAGCGTTGATTCTAAAAGTAAATGAATGGTTTAGCATCGCAAGTGGAACCGTCTATTTCGAATAGAACATCTGCGATGGTTAAGAAAATTTTGAGATTTTTTCAATTTTTTTTTTTCAACATATTTTGAAACTGTGGTCAGCAATATGTTTGTTTATTTTTTTCAGTTGTCGTTTTCGACACAAACATCTAATCATGCGGTCAATATACATATACCGGTTGAAAATGAGGAAGAAATTCGAAAGTTTTTCTCTTTATTCGCTCCAATTTCATCAAATGAACCTTAATGGACCCTTTCGACGATTATCGTCCATGGCTCATGTTTATTTATCGCGGCGAAGAAAACACATTTCCATTCATCATTTGTGATATTTGCATTCGAAGCCGATGATTTAAGTCATAAATAAAAACCAATGAATTTTTTCCTTTCTTCGTTCATTTTGGCCATCGAGTTTTAGTTTGAATATGGCTGGTTGATATTGAAGTTATGGGCATTTAGGTCTAATCAACTACTTAACCGTACGAACCAAGAAATTTATTTCAGTAGAGAGAGAGAGAGAGAGAGAGAGAGAGAGAGAGAGAGATTGGTACAAATGTGGAAGAGACTAGAAAAAAATTGAAATACCCGATGGACAGTATGATAACAAGAGTTGCGTAAAAGTTTTCAACGAAGGAAAAAAAAACGAAGATAAAAAAGATTTCTTCTAGTGAATTAGCGATGACAAATGTGACTTAAATGGCATTTTCATTTGTCATGTGAATGGGTTGTGATTGAATTTGATGAAATTCACATAAAAAGTGGTCTTGGGCAATGAAAACCGTGCATACACCATGTAGCCATGTGCGGAAATATAGAATGAACGTGGATGATGACAAAAAAAAAAAAATCAATGATGTTGCGATGAGGTGATAACATTATTCCGTGTCTGCGTATTAACACAACATAATAAAATGATTGTAAGAAAGAAGAAAAGAAATAGCCAGCCGAAAGGAAAGTATGGCGTTGCACGGTGTATTACAATAAATGGACGACATCATCATAATAATAATGCAATATTATTATCTTCATCATCATTAACATGTTGATTTGAGCCACCTTACCCATACCGATTATACACATAGAAGCCGATTTATACGTAGATAAAGAATCGCAGGTAAATCATTTCACGCACTGTTTGAGTTAGCGCAATAATGAATGTGTCGACCGAAGACACTGATGAAAAGCATAAGAAAGAAAAAAACACCACGGAATATTTATATTAGTTTGAAAAATTTGAAATGAATTTACATAACAATCGTGCCGCTGATGTGTGCCGGGGCATACGGGCACATGATGTGTGTTGGGTTCATACATCAATATATCCACAATTTCTTTGGGGAAAAAAAAGAAGTGTAAAATAGTGCCGTCAGTTTAGCAATGAACACTGAGTCCGGTGGAGAATGAGAAGAAGACGCAGCAGCAGCAGCAACAACAACAAAACAAGCAATAAAAATACATGTTCTGCAGGGGGCAAACAAAATACCGAAATGCGTGTTGAAGAGTGACTTGTAGACGCAGCGTTATTGAAAAGGAAAGCCGAAGATTAAAGGCAAAAACAAAATGTCAAATGAATAATTTGCAAGCATCGGAGAGTTGCTCGCATGGAAAATGTTGAGTTGAAGAACACCAAAGACACACATAGAAGAAGAAGAACAAGGAACGAGAAAAAGAGTGAGCCTTTTGAGCGACGGAATCACATCGCGCGTGCAAAATTATCAACCAGAATGGTGGGAACAGAAGAACATACCGCTATTAATGCTAATTATCACGAAATCGAGAGAGAAAAAAAAAGAGTGCGCGACCAATGAACGAAAAAAAGAAGATAATGTAAACACCTCACACAACCATGCATGGCATGATGGCATGAGTGTGTGTGTGTGTATGTGTGTTTACGCGTGAGCGCACGTATTAAATTACCTGAATGGCAGCCCGGGCACCGCGACTTATCGCCGGCATAATTTGTGTATTTGATGCACATAATTTCTGTTGACCGTAACTTAATCCGGTGATTTTATAGCATAAATCAGGATTCAAATCGATTTTTTCTTTGTACGAGGCCGCCGCAACATCAGCACTTACTGTTTCGTTTATGGTTGTAATCGGCGTTCCAATCGAATAAGGATAGTCACGACGTGACATCGTATTAATCACTGCTGACGCATTACGTCTCTGGTGGCGACGATGGCTACGAATCGTACGCTGTAAAATTGATTGCTTCAATGCATCGTCATCCTCTTGACCACCTTCGCTATCAAATCGATCGGGCCGTTTATTTGTGTTGACCGAATGTGATGATGATGATGGTGGTGGTGGTGGCTGGATACTTCTGTACGGTGGTACATAGTTCGCTTTGAGCCGCGACGAGCCTGAATTCGATCTGATTTCGGTGTTACTGCTGCTGCTGCTGCTGCCGTGGTTGCTGTTACTGTTGATCGATTGGTGTTCGCCATTTTTGTCCGTTTTGGTATTTCGGATGGCGGCCACAGCTGCTGCCGATGTCAAATTAAAACTAATCTGAAATGCTTTTGTGCAGTTTTGTTTCTGGTCCAATGGAGCTTCTTTGCATTTTTTCCGCATTTCACGTCTTAATTGCTTCTCCTTATTTCGGTTTGCGTTGGCATTTTTCTTTGGTTGATGCTGCTGCTGCTGCTGCTGAAGCTGCTGTTTCTGTTTCTGCTTTTGTTCGGTCGATACGCTTGCATATTGATTTCGTTTGGTGGATGACGACAGGAATGTTGGCTTTGGATCGTTGTAGCTAAATTTTTGCGGTGAATTCGATTGTCTTTGGTAATTGATTGCATCGTCAAGTGGTGGCCGCTCAAAACTATCGTCATTCATTGGTGTTTGATCATTTTGCAGAAACACTTGTGGTACGATTGTGATTTTTTCCGCTTTTTGTGATTCCTCTTTCGATGTTATCGGCCACGTTTGTTTCGGCACGTTCAATGATGGTCGCCGCTTCGTTGTCATTGTTGCACGTTTCGTTGTGGTACGCATCGTTGTTGTGGTTCTCACCGTGGTTGGCATCTGTTCCGATGACGATTGTATTGGATAAATTGTTGTAAAACTCGTACTAGTCGTTGTGCTTGGTGTTGTCGACAATGGTAGAGCGTCCGATGTTCGTTGCAAACTTGGGAATACAACAAATTTACTCTGGAAATTTTCATCGTTTTTCGTTAAATTCTGCAACATAAGGATGTGCCTTTTTAAATCGTCAATATTTGGCGAAGTGTCCGGCAAAACGGGTGGTTTTCGTGTAGTTGTCGTCGTTGTTGTACTAGTTGATGATGTTGATGTGGCCACTTTCAATGCCAACGGGATTATGTACTTTCGATCGATATGATCGATCGATCGTTTTCCATCCAAATCATCTTTCGTTTCGATTAAAGTGACCTCTTTTTTGTTATTCATCGCAGCCATTACGACTGGATTTTCCGTCGATGACGATGTGATCATCCATTTCTGTTGCTTTTTCACCATTTCCAAATATTGCTTCTGAATCGTATCATTACCCGCCGCTTCGAATGCATAGCTAAATGAATTGCCGCTCATCATATTATTACCAAAGCTCGGATCGGTTGTGTTCAATGAAATGCTCAGATTTGATAGCACCTCAATGTGATGCGGCTTAAACTCAATGAACGGCGACTTCAAACCAAGGCATCTGAAAATATATAAAACAAATCAAATTTAATCGCTGACGGCTTACGTATACGTTTTTTTTAAATATATTACAAATACACAATAATGCAGCTAATCGTATTTAATGATAAATTCTTGTTTTTTTTTCACGTCTCGAAATTAAATTGCTCGTTAAATTCGACAATAATCAAAATGTAGCCTCAAATTGGTTTAATGGCAGTAATCACGTTTGGTTTGAATAAAAAAGTTTCGACTTTTTTCTAGTCTCATTTTGTCGGCATGTGACACGGAAAAAAAGATTTGATTGAGAAAACACAGAAAAAAAACTGAAAGTATAAAATGATCAATTGTTTCAGCTAAACGGATTAGTTTGAAAATATTATTCGCTTTGACGTGATCAAAGAGCAATGGCAAACATTTGGATTAGTTTTGTAATTCTCAGCTTATTCGGTGTGATTCTACAGGTGAAATGTATCACCCAGACATTTGGTGAAACAAGCGATAATCCACCCGTTCTCAAAGAGAATATTAACATACATGGCGAAATACTTATTGTGAAGAAAGCCATCGTTGAATGGCCATCGAAAGATAGTGTAATTTGAACAATTAGAATGTTTCAACTTTTTTTTTCTGAAATTATTTATAATTTGTTGTGATTTTTCCAGAGAAATTTCCTCTGCATCATATATTTTGGATCAATCTTGATAAAATTGACAGCATTATTATTATTTCTTTCACCTTCTAATCATGATTGCCAATGTTGAGATCCAAAATTCGATATCAATTGATTTTCCAATTGATTGTGCTTGTCAATCCATTTTTTTGCATTTTAGGTGCACCCAACATCAAATGGAACAATTATTCGCGGCATAGTTCATATCGATAATAAGCAACCGGGACATGGACCATCGTTGCGATTCATCAATGGTGGTTATGGACACCCATTTGTTATATTGGAACTAATCTCGAAACGTGGTCATGGAATTCAATCAACAATTTTAATTTACGTTTAAACTTCCGAGATATCCTATCCCTATCATAAATACTGCTGCTGATTCAACTGCGAAGTATGTATCTTCGTATTCATTTCGGTGTGTGAGTCATGGACGTGATTAAAATCAACACGAAAATATAACGCTCTGTTTTGAATATAGCGCGATTATAAATAATAATAAAAAAAACATTCTGATAAACAGAAAAAAAAATGCTGCTGCAACTGAATGACGTACACGATACACACTCATTCCATTGTACGGTAGTTTCATTTTAATCATAAATCGTTTCGGATTCTTTCTAGTCTATTCCGTAGTTCGATGTTTTCTTTGTTTAAATCAATTCGTTTTTTTTTTATCTATCGTTTGAATAACAAAACGTGCCCTTGCGAGAAAGGAAAAAAAAAGTGCAAACAAATGAGCAAAAGATGTCATCTTTTCGGTATATATTCTTGACTCAAGTGTCATATATCTAAACACAGTTGCTCATGATGATACATCGCCATTCTCAATAAATAAAATAAAAACTTCGTCGTTCGTTTTGAAGCAAATTCTTCTTCTTCTTCTCTTTCGCAGAAAAAATTGAAGCGATAATAAAGACGAAAAAAAATTGTATGGATGCTCATCATCATTCAATTTTAATTAAAGACAAAGTAATTAGTAATGCCCAAACACATGAAATTATTTGATGACGTAATAAAAAAAAACTTTTATCGCCGTTTGAATCAAATGAATCTTGTTCATTGAGAGGAGAAAAAAAAAGCTCGGGGAAATTTGTTTGTTAACAAAAATTGAAGCGACCCAAGCGTTGATTGTAAATAGGTTATTTGGCTGCTGATTTCAGGTTAAAATTCGTGTCAAATCAATTAAAAGACAAAATGTTTCTTTTTTAAGTAAACAAATGCCGAACGTTCACGCGCGTTTGCCGACAGAGTGAACGCCAACACGAAAAAAAGAGTTCTCATTCGAGTCTCAGTAAATATCAGTGCGTTTTTTTTTGTCTATAGTTGTTGTTGTTTGTATTCTATTTTATCGGTCTCATTCGTCTTGTGTCGATGTAAGCGAGAGAGAAAATTACGGCAACCGTGAATATTGTAGTCACATACAAAAGTTTACTCAATTATTCATTGCAGTAATTTCGGTTCATTGCTCATTTGTTATTGCAAAGATATCATTAATTTGGGTAGTGCTTCCGTGAAAAAAAAAACGAGAAGATAAAACATTTTGTGGGGTTAAAAAGTGCCACGACGGAGACATTACATGTTTGAAACAAACGAATTGGGATTGTTTTGACGTGTGCAAAAAAGCAGAAAGTTTTAAAGAGAACGCGCATTTATTCGCTTTGATTTTACTACTCAATTGAGTTTCAAAAAGATGAGAATCGTATTGAGTTGCTGTCTGCTGTTGCTCTTAGCACTTTCGGGTGGTGTTTGGTGTCAAACGAGTAGCATTGTGATTGGCGAAACAAACCATCCGCTCATACACAACAGAACGATCGATATTCCGGCAGCAAAAAGACCATGGTATAAATCAATGATTAGCTTTTTCACTCGTTCGGAAAAACCTGTTCAAAATGTTAATTACACCTTCCCATCACAGTACACTGTAAGTAGTCAAAGTCTATTAATGCTGAATTGAATCGCATCAAATGTAAAATAAATTCTAATTGTTCTCGTTTTTGTCTTGCTTCTACGACATCAGCTCAACAGTTCGCGTTGTTTGATTACAGGTGTCACAGTGAATGACATCGATCTTTTTGGCAACGGTGGTTTAGCGAAAATCATTGACGGTGGTCTGGGTCAAGATCGAGTTACCATTAATTTTGTCTCAAAGCCGGGTGAACCAATGCATTTCTCTCTCAAAATCAATGGATACTGTGTGAAAATGAATCCAATGGACTCGTATACAAATACTGCTCAGCACGCAATTCCGTTGAATCGCGAACTAGTAAACACTGTACAACCGTCATACGGCTGGATGCCACCATCGAATTTGACATTGAACAACAGTAGCTCGGTTCTTATGCAGAATATCACATCTACGTCAAATTCATCTGGATGGTGGCACTTTGGGTAGCTACACTCAACCAACCAACCAACCAACCATCATTCAACTATCTATTCATTAGCATCGCACGCAATAAATTATGTAACCAATTTCCGTGGAATAAAAAAAATTACATTGTAAGCACGAAACAGCGCTGTAGTTATTTTTGTCACATTTTTGTTATCATTTTCACTGGGTTGTGCTGCACGCACACACTACAACACTCATTTCGATGAATCATTTGCAAGCTGTATGCTTGTTACGTTCAAGATGATAAGATTAGCGCTTTTGATAAGAACTAAGCCAAAGACATGAGCAGCCACAGAATCAGTTGATTTGCATATGTGAAACCGAATAGACCGAAGATGAAACTCGATCATTTTGTGTGTTGTATATTTGCTAGTATTTTGGTGATATTTTCATGTGCTCAACAATACAATTGTTTGAGCCATGACTCAACCATTGGTTTGTGTTCAAATGTATCGCGTAATAATTCAGTGCCAATTCTATCGAAAGTGATTCACAAGCCAAACAATAAGTTTATGAAATATTTCCGAAAAACCGATGTCACCATTCGCTTTCCAGAGGTATATACTTTTTTTTCTCGCTAAAATCGAACATAGATTCGTTTTTTCAAGCTGATCAAACATATCAAAAGAATGTCAAAGATTTGGTTCACACTGGTTTCTCTTATTCATTCGCTGTATTTTCTTGTTACAAACTTTTTTCTTTTTTGAAAATTTCTTTTGATTTCGATGTGTCGCTATTTTCTGATCAGGTCGGAGAACTTGCGTATCCAATTACGTGCATCCTCATCAAAGACATTGCAGCAAATGGTACAGGTGGTTTTGCGATGATCCAAGAAGGTGGCATTAATTTTAGACATGTAAAAATTTATTTCAAATCACAAACGGGCTGTGACATTCGTTTTAACGTTGATATTTTCGCTCAAACACCGTATGGTATACCACCAACATCATATGGCACACAAGTGTATCCCAATGTCGGTGCACCATATCCCAACAATGCAGCACAAGGATATCCCGCACAACCAGCTGGCTGGATCTACCCAAGCAACAACTATCAACAGCAGCAGCCATATGTTTTTAATCGCAATTGAAACATTTCATTTCTTTGAGAAAGCGAATGAAAAAACACAATGAAATTGATGAATTCCATACAATAATTTACTAATTTTAACGTGGAAAAATGGTGTTATTTATTTAATGAAGAAAAAAAAACATTGTTATTTATCTGTATAGAAAAAAATGGATCATTCGAACAAAAAATAAAAAGCTGATAGCAAAACAAAAGCACTTTCGAAAACGAGCTCATCGATCTCAATTTTGATTTGACCAGATGTTTACATTTTGGGCTACTTTTTATGCTATTTATATTACAATTTAAATGATATTCGCCACAGTATTTATCGAGTGTTCGATGGAATCATCACTTTAGATACGTTATCAGCTTTCATCAGTGCGAAACGATAGACATACAAATATTTTCTTTAGTAAAATTTGAAATCAAAGTGCAATCAGAAAATGAAAAAAAATCTGGTAGTTTTCCTTCTGTGTGCCGTAACCATTTATGGTTGTAACGCTCTTCAGCACAATTTATTCTATGGAAATTGTGTACTTGATAACAACACAGTACCCATTTACACACAAGTCGTTCTTATGGATAATCCGTATGCTGTTCATACACCAGCCAAACCAGTTCGACGTTGGTATGATTGGTTCAGTAAACTATCATTTCGGCGAAAAACTACTACAACACCCGCACCATCAATCGTCTCAGGAAAAGTGATCAACGCAACTGTTGTCTTTCCACCACCAGTAAGTATCGACTTGTTTTTAACTCGAATTGAGATCGTAATTTCGTTTAGAAAGAAAAATTCGGTGAAAACCAAAAAAAATTGCGTTTCTTTCTCGAAAAACCACGTCAGATCAGTTGGAATTTCTGTTGAACAATGCAAATTGGGTCTAACTAAAAAAAATCGTGAATTTAAAACCAATTAATTTATCATGGCAAATTAATTTGTATTTGCCTGATGATTTGTCACACAACTCGACGCCAAAATTAGTAGCGTGTAAATCACGACTCTCTTGTGTTCGAATAATTGAAGCAAAAATACGTCGAGAGAAAAAAATAATATTCTCTCACTCTTTCAACCACAACGAAAAACAACGTTTCTTCATCTCAATTTGTCATAGTTGAAAATGTGAAAATTTACTTAAAAATTCGTTTTTTATCAGATGAAATGCGTTTTGGTCTGTTTTCAATCGATCTTCTAAGCAAAAAATAAAATCGCTATTCTGCAATAGTTTCAACTTTGGTTTGATTTTCATTATCTTCTGTAACTGATGGCATTTTTTTTTTGTCTTTTTGAAGGGAATAAAAAATACACGCCTCATCAAATGTATCCAAGTGATCGACAATATCACGGATGGTCACGGTGGATTTGCATCGATCGAAAAGGGTGGCATCAATCAAAACAGCACACAAATCCGTTTAACTTCGCAGCCAGGTGGAAAAATCAACTCAAAAGTAGTAATTTTCACATACAAAGACCCACACACACCAGCAACATACCATCAATCGCCATTCGGTTGGAAAACGCAACCGAATGCAATCCCAAATCATCATCCAAATCAAATTCCGGGTTCACAACATCCATCGAATTACCAGCATCAGCCACACAAACCCTACTATCCATGGCCAAATCTCCACAAAAAAAAATAATTTCAATCAATTTGAACAATTTTTTTTTCACTTTCCTATTTAAATGCACGAAATTTCTTGAGACTAAAATAAATATACGGTTATCTGCATTCGTAAAAGACCAAGACACAAAACAATGTGATCCTTTCGTTGAGACAAAGAACAACTAGCAATAAAACTAGACTGGAGCGGCTGCTTGATTGCTCTTTGACTTGGCTGCTGCTATTCTGCAAATTATCTATTTTCACCGTGCATTCAGAGGGGATAGAGAAGAAACGGCATCAAATTTAATTGCATATCTTTAATGAATCGAATGGGAGAAAGAGAATCAAAATAATAATAAAGGAAATAAAGACAATGTTTGTAACGTTTGATTGGTTTCTTTCAATCGCGGGAGAGAGAGAGGGGGAGAGAATGCGATGTGGAAATGAAATCGCTTGGTGTGCGGTCGGTCTTGGCTGCATCAGCAGCAGCAGCAATAGCATTCATATCAAAAGATCAAAAGTTTATTAAAGGCCATTGCATGGCATAATGAGTCGTCGCATTTTTTTTCCTTTGCTGTTTGTCTCTCTACCAACAAATCAAAAAAAAAAAACAAGAAAGCTTTCAACTGTTCTTCACTTCTTTTACGATCGTACATTATAGTAGTTGAAGCATAAAATAATATCGAAATGGTGACGATAAATGGGAGAAAATACGAAGGGATACACGGGACAGAAACAAAAAAACCTCAATTGATAATTTTTTGAAACTTTAATCGATTATATATTTACTAATTATTTTCATAAGCTGTGGCATCATCTGTGTGCTACAGCCAGAGAGAAAAACCAGTTAGCATTAGCGATGTGTGTGTGCGCGAATCCGTGGCGAGAGATAGCTGCAAGCAACGGAAACCTTTCTTTAGCACATGTCAACCAATAAAATTCGAAATAACCACGCACAATAAATGTGTGCGAGGGAGAAAGAGAAAGCAAGAGCAAGAGGGAGAAAGAGAGAAAGACGACGAGAGAATGCCTTGCTATTTAGTTTTTATTCAAACGACCGCGCGCTGCTATTGCCTGCGTCCAAGTCGTGAGCAAGAGGTAGAAAAAAAAGGGATTGCATTTTCCAATGAATTTGTTACACGAGATACAAAGCAGCGCAGCAATTAAATGTATATTAAAAAGAAACTCTTCTCTCTACCTTCATGCGGTGATGCATTGGCTGTCGAGTGCGGCTGCTGCTGCTGTTGCTGTTGTGAAGGTATATAAATGTGTATCTCGAATTAATTTTTTTTTTTATTCATTTTAGAAACTCGAAATCTGAATGGCATTTAATAGCATGATAATCAAAAATCACTTACCCAACGTAAAATTTATCATGCACATTCGAATACGACGAGAGCGAGAGAGAGAGAGAGAGAGAGAGAGAGAGAGAGAGAGAGAAGGAAGAGAAGCACAAATGGCCCCAACGTAGTGAAGCGACTAATGATGTTATTAAACCATTGCTGCATGCGGTCGCTTGGAGACAAACGAACACACGAAAATAGCCCATGCAACTAGAAAAATGGATGCACACAACACAGAATTGCATATCATAGAGGCTAGAAGAATTTGCTGTTTCATGAATGGTCGTTTTTTTCTTCGTCGAAACCAAGAACCATGGTTTCATCTAACTTTCATCGTCTGCATTTAGGCTAATTCAATCAATTTAATTGTTAACCACCGAATAACATCATTATTATGCATGTTCTTCTTCTCATCTTAAATGACTTGTCAGATAATATCGCTCGATTGGATTCCACCCCAAACATGATTCAACATTTGAGTTTTGTTTTCATTCCTTTTTACCATTCTCGGATGATCGATTTTTTTGTTTTCGACTCTTCTATTTTAATTACAACATTTCCATTACAATGGCCCATATTTCAAATGTTTTATCTCTTCATTTTTATGTATAGGTTTCTGTTGCCGAACTAAAAATCCAATTTGATTAAAACACAACTTGAGCATTCGAATGAATCGTAATGGATGTAATTGAACAATTATTTTATCATTTTGTTTTCATAATTTGCGAACAAGGAAATTACTCAATTTATATACACACATAGTATGGAATCATTTTCCAGCAGCGGCGGCCGTGTCGCCGTTATGATAAATTACACATGAATCCTGTGCCGGTGCAATTGTGCAAAAGCTTGACAATTAAAATTTTACATTATTCATTTGAAAATGTAAGTGGGTTTTTCATAGCTCCTTGACGAGATTCGTCTCGAGTACACACACACACACACACACACACACATTCAAATCTGTGCGTTCTTCGGTTCCCATTCGGTGTTTCATTTCATTACTTTTTTTTCTGTTGCTCTCATCATTTTACAGAATGTGTGAAGAGCTGTTTATTCCATTTGTCTTGTTTACCATAGCTGCTGCTCGCAGCGTTAAAATGCCGCAAACGCATTCTGAATGCATTGCATTTATTTTGCTTCTCTTTCTCTCTCTTTCTCTCTCTTTTATTTTACGATTTATGGGCTTTATGACATAATTTGTTTTATGTGGTGCTCGATTTGTATGTGTGTGTGTATAGCGTTGATGATGCCCGATGCCAAAAAGAAATATCGCCCCGTGTATATATGCGAGATATACCGCGCGTGCAAATTAATTTCAACTAAATAACAAATGAGCCGTAATAATTTTTCGTATTTTGAAATAGCGGCGGCGGCAGCGGTCGTAACGTGGCTTGGAAACACACCATCGGAATCCATAACGGTTTCGCAAAATAAGTGCTAAGCCATTCGTCGAGGTATCAAGATCTCGGCGTGTTGTGAGAGACGAGTACAAGAGCAAGAGAGAGAGAGTGTGAAAAAAACAACATCAAACCGAATGGTAGCGCGCTGCTCGCGGAAAAAGAAACGTGTTAGAGACACACTGTGTGAGAGATATTATGGCAAAAAGTGATTGACTTGTGGATGCATTTCTTGTTTTTGCATTCATTTTTTTCCTTCTCGGCTTTGCCACTCATCTCATTCTGTATGTGCGCGATGTGCGCGCGATCGAATGAGCGCTTTCGTAAAATACACACTCGACACATATCCCATGAGTGCCAGTGTGTATGTATATATCATGCTGCACATGGGAAAAGAAATGCATCATTCAAAGAGCCCTAATTATAACTTAATTAACACTTTTAAATTTCACACTCGCTCCGGCATATGCGCGTTTTTTGTTGTTGCATGTACCATTCTCAATATATCAGATACTAAATAGTGTTACTGTTTGAGAATCTTACGGAAAAAAACGCGCACAGCCGACGAGGAGTATATCTTCCTACAAAAAAAACACGAAGGAAAACAGATTTTTATCTTCTCAATCCATTACCGGCAAGAATTGCGGTTCAGAAAGAAAAAGTAGAAAGCGCGGCCGATCAAGGAGCACAAGGAGATGAATAACCATATGCACAATAATGCGATGTAATATATTTTATTTATCTACGAATCATTTTTCTACATGGATCGTCTGTTTCTCTGTCTCACTTCGGTATATGATTCCAATGGCGACTAGAATATCGCTTATTTGCGCTGTTTATTTGATTCATTTCATCTTTCATTTTCTCCATAACATTAATTAACAAATGATTTTTCATCGTTCACGCAATCGCATCCCAACCGAAAAATTGTTCTTAGCCGCGTTGTTGTTCATTTCGGATCTTTTTTTTTCTGAAATGAAGATGGTATAATCGATTCGATTCCAACTGTGAACATACACACTGAATCGCATTCGTTTTCGACAATTTAATATAATCATTCGGCTTTATGCCGCTTGTTTCTTTCCTCACCTTCGTCTCGCACGTTGTCACTGGCCGTGATTTTGCTTCAAAAGCAGCGCTTACAGTATTGGGTTGCGCTCGCGCGCCGTCCGCATATATTGCATACCCTCCTGGACAGATATCAACGACGACGTACGATCGCCTAACGTGTTAAATATTTGATTTTATTGGATTTGATGACTTGATTCCCAATTATTAACACACATTGTTATCGAATCAACGTCTTTTCTCGTTCGAAGCATCGTTTTCTTCTTTCTTTCTTTCGCTCTCTTTCTCTTCACTTCTCAGTGCATAGGAAATGATGTGTACGGTGTGATAAGAATTTGGATCGTTAAGCAAAAGTCACGAATACAAACACCAGTTGGGAGTTCTAGCCGCTCGTTGAATCGATTTTCAAAAAATGAAATCTTTACTTTGGAAAATGGCCATTTAGAATGTCTTCTATGCTTGAACTAGCACAATGGAATGAATTGAAATTGTGATAAATGCTGATAATTATGTGTGAAATCTCGACTAATGATGCATTCACATATACGATCAGGCATGTTGTTTTTTTCTTTTTTCTTCTTCCTTCTCTCTGTCTCTGATCAAGCGGATCGAATATCATTCCATTGTGGAAAAAAAGAGTATGTCAGGCGTGAATCGATCCGAATACCATTTAAATGCATAACATATCTCTTGTGTGATTCGCATTTCATCGCTGTCATTGTGTTGGTTGTACAACAAGAAGTAGGGAAAAAAAAGAAGAACGTAAGCGAAGCGAGCTTCGGTGAAATACCATAATAAAATTATAACATCGGAGCGTAAAGGGCTCTGATTGAACGGGCTGTGCACAATAAATACAACAGAAGAAAAAACGGCCAAAATGAAATGAACACAAAACAGCCAAACTCATTGAAATAAAGGTAGGGCTGGATCATTTGGTTGTCTCATTTTTCCGCTCCTGAACATCAGCGTTACCAATTTCTCATTCAACTGGTTCTCGACTTCGTCGTTGTCGTTTTTTTTTTTTTAAATACATGTTTCACTGTCTTCGCTCTCTCCCCGGGACAGATCAAATATGAATACAACAACAAGAAAAAAAAAGACTAGGGAGTAGAAAAATAGGTAAGAAATGAATATAAATAATATTTGCTCTCGTGTTGTTAATATTATATTTGTAATTGGCGGTGTACATAGCGAAACGGTCTCGAAATCAACAACGTACAAATTGTGAAAACATGTTGAGATTTTGTTGTTGTTGTTGTTGTTGTTCAATATTTTCGTACAACTTTGGCTGACAAAGGAGAAGCAGAAGGAAGAAGAAAACAATATATACAAGAACTTGAATCGCACGCGAGTTCTGGTTATTTGTTGGAATTGAATGGGTCTAAATGTGCTGGCATGAGACATCGATTGGATCGAGCTCACTTCTTGACTCTCGGTTCTCTATTCTATCTGTGTATTTCCAAGCTCATTTTGCATACTGCGGCCAAATTGAATGCAAAACTTTCAATTTTCACACACACACATACTGCCGGCAACATTTGAATGAAGACGAAGTGCATTCATTGAATATATTGCATCA